ATCTCACACGCTGTAAAAATGAATATACGTGTCTGCTAATATCATCATCATCTTCGTCATCAGCATTCACTCGAATATTGGTTCACTTGACTGTTTTAATTGTTTGCTCAAATTTTCCAGTTTGATATGTGACCAGTCATACTATTTGCCGGATCCATAACATATATGTAAAATCTTTCTTGCAACAAAGAAATGTTAGTCGCTGACTTTTGCTCATACACAGGACTCATTGACAACTTAAATAACTTTTGATCCAGTTATTATATTTTGCTCATTTTTTTTTTTTTAATATCTAATATACTTAAGGGCTAGAATAATAATGTAATAAATATAATTTTTAAATAAAAAATTATAATTTCAAAAATTTACGAGAAATGTTTAAAAAAAATCAAAATAGCCATTTTTTAGAATAAATTTTAAGGTATAATTTGGTGAAAAAATTTCTATTTATGTTTTGTAGTTAATTTTATGTAACATTTTAAATGTTGTAAAAATTGAAATTTTTTTGTATTTATTCTACGGTATTAAAAGCTGGCTATATTTTACAAAAAAGGACAGAAGTAAATACAATTTTTTCACTCTAAATATGTTATGTCTATGGATTTTTCCATGAAAATTGTTAACGTTCTAACGACCGGCTTTAATTCAAATAAAAACATAAACAGTACTTATTCTAACTAAAATTAGAATTTATTTATCACCAGTGAAAATCTATATAATACTAAGGTCTATTATATTTACAAACTTGGTATTAATACAATGAGAAGAAATTGGATAATGCGATTATTACTAATCACTCTCATTCAAAAACGTAATTAATTTTTATGGAAATAGTTACACATCTCCAAATTATAGTAATCATGAAAAGATAGTGTTTTCTTCTGTCCTTTTCACAATGCGTATTTCAATGTTTGATAGCATATAATAATACATGAAAATTTAAATTTTCACAAACTTTAAAATATTAGAGAATATTAATAAGAAATTTTTACCAAAATTTTTCTTAAAATCTACTCTACAAAATAGCTATCTTAGATTTTTTTTTTATATTTTATTTTAAATTAAAAAATAATTAATATTTTTAATAAAATGTTAAAAAATGAAGTTTTGAGATATAATTATGGACCTTACGTATAACTGTTATTTTCAAAGAAATCAGCTAAAAATATTAATTGGATCAAAATTTATTTAAGTTGTCAGTGAATGCTGGGTCACTCTGTACACCAAGCAATTTGTCTCACATTTATTATAGATAACTAATTTTCTGTACATTTTTTGTACTTCAAAATGAACAATCTATTACAATACAAAATTTAAATGTTCGCGTTAAACAATATCTGCACTCGAACACACGAAAATAAAATCGCACAAGGAACTTACAATAAACCGCATTTTTTCTGAATAATTATTAAAAAAACTTTTTTTAGACCCCAATGTCTGGGCCCATAACCTGTTGATAGGATGAAGTTAAAAATAATACTTAACTAATGTCTAAACAAAAGTATTATATTAATTTCTCATAATCAATAGATATGTGTTGTCTTAAAATCAAAGATATAAATATAGTTTAAAAAACTAAAAAAACACGCTTTTAAAGTACATCGAACTAAAAAGTTAAAAATAATTTTTAAAATAATTATGAACAAAAAATACTAGTATTATTGTGATAAAAGCGTCGGGCGCTCAATATACGAAAAATATGGCACAAAGCACCCACGCTTTTATCACAATAATACTAGTATTTTTTGTTCATAATTATTTTAAAAATTATTTTTAACTTTTTAGTTCGATGTACTTTAAAAGCGTGTTTTTTTAGTTTTTTAAACTATATTTATTTTTTACTTTTTAGTTTCATGTTATGATAGTAGTTACTATCAATATCATGGTTGTTACGGGTAACGGGAAATCAGGGTTCGATTCTGGGGAGGGAGTCTGAGAAACGGCTACCACATCCAAGGAAAGCAGCAGGCGCGTAAATTACTCACTCCCGGAACGTGGAGGTAGTGACGAAAAATGACGATACGGAAATCATCCCTCGTAATCGGAATGAATACTTTATATCTCTTAATTAGAATAAATCGTGTTAATATATTAATTTTAATAGTAATTAGAATATATATATTTATACAAATAATGCGACTTAACTACGTAAAAGTATCATGCACTAAGTATAGCTGTGTTTTATGGCCGGGCGGGTCGGACTAACGTTATACCCGAGGTATAAACGGCGGTAGGAATATATATATATATACGTAAGGCGCATTAGACGCGGGCGTTATTGGTCAGTCAAAATAAAAATTTGTTTACATATATATAATATTGATGACAAGCACGCGTGTACGGGTACGATAACTAAAAATAAATTTTTATAGGAATAGTGTACCGTCGTATTGTGAGCGAGGCGTGGGGAGGGGTGAATGCGTATAACAGTCTAGTCTAGACAACGGAATATGCGATAACGCGTGGCGTTTGGAAAGTTACATACAAACAACATACAACATACAACATACATGTGAAACTAATAAAAGCGTATTAAAAATTTACTTGATTCAATAAATTGATTTTATAGGCTCAAAATCATGACTATTTTATAATTAATTTTATAACATTTAAACGTTTTTCATTAATTTTAGTAAGTATTTTTCTGTGGGCACTCACATTAAACTTAACATAATTGTCATTAAATCTATCCTGAAAAAACATTACCGATTAGATAAATAAAACCATAATATAAATATTGGTGAATTAAATTTTTTTTTGCTGTATTTTAATATAATTATTAACATTTATAAAAAACTTATAATGTACTTACAATTATTTTTTGATTTGTTGCTAATACATTATTCTGGAATTAACATAATTTAAATAAATATTAAAACGTTTTTTTGCTGGAAAATATTTATTCTAAGTATACCTTAAATTTCCCTGTTATATCATCTACATTAATATTATTCTAAAACAAACAAAATTAGTTAAGTATTCTTAATAAATGACAATTTAAGTATATAAATCGAAACTACTAGAAGTATAACGATGAATTTTAATATATAACAAATACACGTAAATATTAAATAAGTTTTATTTCAATAACAAATAAATCGTTAAATGTCTAATAATTTCTATTTTAAATTAATTCACAATATTAAACCTTCAATAGTTTCTCTATTTCATCCATTTTATTCTAAAATAAAAAAATTAACATTATAAAAATTAAATTAATTTTTATTTTTATTGTGATTAACGTTATTAAACGTTAGAAAAAAAAATTACATATTATTAAAAAACATAGAACATTTTATAAATATTGAAGTTAATTTACAAAAATTCTTCACGAAATAAAAAGAAAAATAAGTATAACTTGAAACCTTTTAATAAATGGTAAATAATTAAGCTTTAAAAGCTAAAAGTTTTATTATGTTCAATTTGCTTGTTAAAGTGTAATTTGAAAATTATTTCAGTAACTATTTTTTTAAAGAAAAATGACTCATGTTAAACATACCTCAATTTTTACACTTGTAGTTTCAGACTGTAATACAAATATTAGTATATCAAGTTATATCATAAAATATTTTAAAAAAAATTTAATTTTTACTAATAATCATTAAGTAATAAAGACGATATTTTTCATATGAGCTAAATTCAGGAAATATCAATCAATTTGAAAAAATAGCTACTAAATTTATTTTAATAATCAAAGAGATCATTCATCCAATTATTTAATAAGATGGGTGCTGATATTCTGGAAAATATAGATTAGCGCGATTGTTCATAATCATAAAAACTAACTATACATTGAAAGAACTAGTCTCGTGGAATCGAAAATAAAATGTTTTATAAATTAAAATTTTTAATGAATACATACTGCAATTTCGTTACACATATCAGAGAGACAATCCTAAAAATAAAATTTTGAAATATATTGTTATGTTTTATTTAGTTTTTTTTTTTTATTATTTCTTAGCGTTTCGTCTAAAATAATTAATTCTATACTTACCATTACATTTTTTCCCAGTTCAGAAAAAAAGTTCTAAAATAATTAATATATATATTATAAATTATTATTAAAAAAGATAAATGATGAAAAAGTAGAGAAATCTACATGAAGAAAAAACGTTGGTCTATATCTACAGATGTAACCCTCTACTAAAAATAACTAAAATGTGTAGTTTGTGTATCTGATATTGTACTACGATTAGTTAGTGGTTATATTTTGACTTAATTATTTTAAATTTCTTAAAAAATATTTGGTAGCAATTTATTAAAGTTTCGGCAGAATACAATGATTAGAGCTCTTTACATCGCTAAATGAAATCATTAACTTTTTTGAGTTTTTCTAATGATATTTAAATTTTATTTACTGATATATACAAGGTGGAACAGAACTAACTGAAACTTTTGCAACTTTTGATACAATTATCATCTCATTGTATTTTTCTTTATAATCTATGTATTCATAAACTACGTTAAAATCATATTTTTTCAATTTTTTTTTAATAATGAAAAAATTTTATTTTATAGTTTAATTATTAATTTTGTTTAAAATTCAAAAAGCCATTTTCTAATATTTTTAATACAAAGAATATTGATGAGTCGATAAATAAATTTAGAATAAGTACTTATTGAATTATAATCATTTTATGCAAATAGTTTGAACAGAACGAGAGGTATATACGTATACTGATATGAGCTGTACCCATCTGTGCTACATAATCAATTTATGTATGAAAATAATAGTAACTCAATAATTAAACTGAAAAATGTTCCGACAATTTCCATACGTCATTATGGTACCTAAATATACACAATAATTTTACATAAAAGTAATATAATTTTGACAATGCCGAAAAGAATAACACACTAGAATAACATTTTTATCACCATTTGTCAAAAATGTCTCATATCTTGAATGCGTTAAAAAATTCCAGTACGTGTGAGTAAAAATTCGGACATTTTTTTTAAGAGTGTACTCATTCTAAAATTGTAATTGACCCATTAAATTTTTTTATAAGAATAGCTCTAAAAACATCTATTTTAAATTTTTGGAAAAAAAAGTTATGTATAATTTTTTTATTAAAAATAAACAATAAAAAACGGTAGCACAGTAGGGTCGCGGCACACTTTGGACGTGGCATTGTTGGGACAAGTATAAATGGTATTTGACAGTGATTAAGATTACTATCATAAGAAACGATTTTATGCAAATCTGTAGATAGTGTTGAGTTTTAAGAAATTGAAGAAATATTCCATAAGCAAAATTAACTCCTATTTCCTTCATTATTCCTAATTAACAGTTCTTTGATTTATAAGTATAATATATGAATTAATATCTCTANCACAGTAGGGTCGCGGCACACTTTGGACGTGGCATTGTTGGGACAAGTATAAATGGTATTTGACAGTGATTAAGATTACTATCTTAATCACTTATATTATTCTATATAAGAAACGATTTTATGCAAATCTGTAGATAGTGTTGAGTTTTAAGAAATTGAAGAATTATTCCATAAGCAAAATTAACTCCTATTTCCTTCATTATTCCTAATTAACAGTTCTTTGATTTATAAGTAAAATATATGAATTAATATCTCTTATAGAATCTATTATAAGAATTAAGAAAAGGGTCAGATTATCATCATATAATTTATATAAAATGAAAGGAAAATACCTAAGGTTTCAATATCAAAAAATTAGACCGGTCCGAGTACACTGAACGAGCGCTTAAAATTTGATAACAGGAAGTTGTTCGGAAACAATTAGCGGCCGGCTAGTCTCAGCTACCACAACAAACACAGGTGCAGTGCAGTACAATTAATCAATCACGAACCGTCTTCGCTATTTTTTTGTGCGTTGTTGTTTTGTGTCCTTTTACATTGTAGTAAACTGTGTCTCAGTACTAGCTACAGTGCTTCAGAAATTATTGATCTCCATAATTATTAGATATAAATTTTATACTAAACGCCAAAAGTCAAGAAAACAAAAAGACATTCGTGACTTTTTTGAATCTAAATGAAATATGTATTACAGTACTTGCACATAAATTATATGAAATGTAAAACAAACTTTTTTGTATTTGCATACTGTATTTTTAGTTTAATTGTTAACTCAATTGTTCTTATAGCAAAGCCTACACTAAAAGGAAAGGGCACCGCCCGATAGACCGGAATTTTCGATAGTCCGGCACGGATCCGGTCCCGAACGTGCCGGATTATCGGAATTCTACTGTAAGTGATGGAAATTTTTAGAAAAAAAGTGAAAAAATGTCGAAATTTACCGATTTTAAAAATCGTAATTTTTTGGGGGATTTTCACAATCTACGGGGAACGAGGGAAACATTTTAATTTTTGAGGGTAATGTCTTCAACTAGATATAATTTGTGATCTTTTGACGTATCGTTGAGAAAAATCTATCCAGCCAGAGCTGAGGAAAAGTAGTAACAGGCACAAAAAAAAAAAAATTAAAAGAAAAATTAACACATCTTAGTAAAATTAATACCTCTCATCTTCGCATCGTACTAAAATACACTTTTACTGTAGTTAACGAATGCAAAAATTAAAAAAAATCATAATGAAATGATTATTAGTTTAAAAGTCATAAGACTTAAAGAGTCAGCTAGAATTGTTCCACTCCGTATTTTACCTTCATTAAAAAATTATTTAAAAAAAAATAAAGGTATAAAGAATAATTGCAAAACAAAAAATATATGAAATAAATTAACTTTTTTATGTAAAACAAAAAAGTGCTAGTTTTCTTAAATCAATACTAAAAGTTATTTCTAATATCCCAGTTGGTATTTATTTTTACTAAAAAAAACAATTTTTTCTATAATTACCTCTATTTCATCGTATTTAGTTTCAACCCTAGACTGAAATAAAAAAAATTATTTTATAAATAAATTTCACTTTTAATCTAATTTAGGTTTGTATAAATAATTTATAAAATATTATGCCACGTTTCAAATACACAGAGTGATTTTTTATCATAACCTTCTCAATTACTGACAGAATTAAAATAATTTAAACATTTTTTAGCTTCGATGCGAAGCTGAGAAGATATTAATTATAACATGATGTTTTTTATTACATTTTTTAATTATTAGCTATTTAATACTTTTTATGTTCATTCCTTATGCCTTATTAGGGTGCAGCTTAATTTTTTCAAATGGGAACACATATTTTGAATTTAATAAAATGTTTAAGATCTTTTTCTAATAATAAATGACATAACTTTATTTGTTTATTAGATATAAAACTTTAAATGTTCAAATTTTAAGTTAATATAGATGTATAATATATGAAGAATTACAAATACAGGTAGCTAATTTGTTTTTTATGACGTCGTTATAAAAGATACAGAGCGTTTATTGTCCATTATGACCATCGACAGATATGTTTTCTATAATGCTAGTTGGTGTATTTATAAATGTTACTCATAACAATGTAACTGACGACTACACTTAAAACATACCAGTTGATAAAGTGTTATAATTGACGATAAATATTGCATATCTATATATCGAATCTGTATTTGTAATTAATGATCGCGGTGTATACGTTAACAGAAATCGAATTTAATTTGGTTGTAAATATCACCTTGACTTAAAAATATCTCAAAATTAAGCAGCTGTCAAATATAGAAAATCATAATTTTTTTTTACATTTGAAAATTGCAATAAATCTTTTTTTAAGTAGCTGAATTTTTATAAAATCTCCATAGAATATAGTTAAAACAATAAGTTTTCTTTTGATATGCTATTCATGATGAAAATCATAAGTAGAACAAGAATTTTAAAGAGACTATCAACGTATAAAAAAAAATTGTTCAACTCAATTTTTAAAGATGATTAAAGATTAAACTCATAATTTAGTCTAAGAGGAGTGGAACGTGTCCATGTGCTTCCTCTATATTTTAATATATACAATGTTTTAAAAAGACTATCGTTATGTTCAATTATTCGAGTGTATTTATTAATCGAATACATGCATCGATTAATTAATAAAATCAAATAGAACAAAACACTATTGAGCAAGTTCAATTAAAATCTAATAATTATATTAATTATATAGTGTTAGTATAACAATTAAATTTACCATAGTTGCTCTACAAAAAAAATTATTTGTTAAATAACAATAAGCAAAAATTAAACAGAAACTTTTATTCATAACGAACATGTCTATTAGTCGAAATTAATTTTTAATTTTTTTTAAATATGAATATTCTTTGAACTATTAAAGTTGTACTCAATGATTGTGTCTTAAATAGGAGATAGCAATATTCTAAATTGGAAAAAAATATATTTAAATTTATAATTTTAAAATTTAGCACAATTTTGTAATATTAAGCTAACAAAAAGTATATATTTTCGTCTAAACACATTTTTCATTTTAATAATAATAATGATTTATTGTAATAATTTTTCGTTTAACAACTGGAATACTATATTTTAAAGAAAACATTTATAAAAAAAGTCAATGTCAAAAACTATATTTTACAAATAAATCTATTAATTTTTTCAAAATGTCCCTGTAAAAAAAATATATCAAATTATTTTACTCGAAAACTTATAAGTATATACTTAAATAATACAAAATATTAAATTCATTTTAGGTTTTTATTAATTGATTTAGCATTTATCCTAAAAAATGATTAAAATATAAGTTACTGTTTGAAACAGTAACTTATTATTAATAAGTAAAATAGAAACAGTCTGTTTCTATTTACGTAAATGTCAATTTCAATTAAAACGCGTTGGAAGATATTTATTCGTCAATTATTTTATTGAAAGTTCTCAATTATGATTGATTTGATTTCTTTATATAAAAATATGATATGGAATAGATATGAATAGGGCCCCAAATTAATATATTTATCAATTTTGTTAAGTTATTTTGAACATAACATAAGCCAGTACAAATTTTTATTAATTGACTTGAAAACTTAGTAATGTAAAACAATATATTGTTAGTGAGGTTAAAATTTCGGGAGGTGATTCCACTTAAAAATTTACAAATATTTATTAATAAATAATACACTTAATCATTACTAAAGATTCGAAGAAAAAATCAAAATGTTTAATGCTATTAACGGATATACAACATCTATCAATTGAGCCTAAATAGCTATAACGTTGGTGGCGAGTTGATATATGAAAAAAGTAATTGAGATCCAATATTGTGTAATGGAACTAAAAAATTTAATATGAGAAAGATATACTGGAAGCTGAAAAATGTTATTCATTATTTGTTAGAGAAAACTTCAATCATTAAACAGTCTTCCTTAGCTAGTAATTTAAGATACAGTTAACTTTTTTTCATATTTGTTTTTTTTTTCTTTTTTGTAAATAGAAAATGTTTATTATGTTTGATACGTTATTTAATAAAAGTATTAAATAACACTTTCATACAGTACTCATTGTGTATATATATGTACATTATAATATATATAGATCCGATCTCCGATCAAGTTTTGATATCTTTAATAACTTTTGAACCAGCAAAAATTTTGTGTTACTTTTTTTTAATAATTTTAGTTTTGGACCGTTAAAAGCATATATTTATTTTTATTTTAAATAAAAAAAAAATTTAAATACATTTATTTTTTTTTTTAATTTCAAAATGGCCATTTTTTAGCTATATCCTTGCGAAAAGTACAAGCATTTTAATGAATCTATCTCGATTTATTACATACTCGCTAGTGAGAATATAACGCCAGCGGAGTATACATTGTAAATATACACTAGTAGAGTTGTGCCCACCTGCGCTACATATCCACTCTACGTATTAAAATACTTGTAACTTAATAAGTTAAATATTCCATGCATTTAAGTTATTAAAAATGTCAAAACTGACGGGATATTCTTTTTGTATACTGAAAAATATTTTAATGTGTATTATTATTAGGGCTAGGAATTTTATAATTTTTATAAATTTTGCTTGAGCCACTTTGTAGGGTCCCAAGTTAGTACAACTTTGTCATAGTATTATATAGTATTGTAGAAATATTTTTCGCTTTCGGGAGAATAACTACCCCCACTAATCAACCTCAACTAAATTATAACCTCGGTAATAACACATTATTAATTTTTAAGTCAATTAATAAAAAATTGTACTAGCTGGTAGTGTAATCAGAATAAATTTACAAAGTTTATAAATGCATATAATTCCTAGCATTAGTTGTTATAACATGTCTAATTATTTAATTATATTTATGTAAAGTAAATATTAATGCCAATTTAATCTAAATAACTGTATTAATTAAATGAAAATAGTTATTAAATACAATTAAGATGAAATGTGATTAATTTTCATATATTATTAAAACTTTAATATAAAAACATCATTANAAATATTAATGCCAATTTAATCTAAATAACTGTATTAATTAAATGAAAATAGTTATTAAATACAATTAAGATGAAATGTGATTCATTTTCATATATTATTAAAACTTTAATATAAAAACGTCATTTGTAGATTTTAAAAATGCTGCTGAAATATGTAAATACGCAACACGTGATAATAATATCAATATTAATATTTAAGTAATTTTGTTGGATCTACTATCTATACTAAAAAAATATTAAGAGCCATTTATCATCATATTTTCCAAACATTTACAGAAAGATGTGACAATGTCGCTGCAATAAATTTTCAAAAGATATACATTAAATATTACTAAAATACAGTGGCGACTCGTGGGTGTTGGTGGTGGGGGGGGCGACTTTAAATATAAAACCACTAGTTATAGGTAAAAAAAATTGTCAAAATAATATAATAAAATAAAACACGTATTATTTTAAAGGACGCAGTAGAAAATAGAAATGATAATAATAATAATAGCGATTATACTATTATAGCACCCGACTAGAAATGCCCATAATTTCTAACAAAGAGAGAGGTTTTAAAAGCAAAGTGGGATTGGTAGCAAGTGATTACGGAGAAAGGGCAACCCCATCGAGCAGAGTAAACCCAACAAATTCAAACCCACGTGCGCTCTAGTAAAAAGGCTTCAAAGCGAAGTGGGATAGATGTGATTTCGGAAAGGAAGTCCAAACGTTTCGAACGTACGTCCGCATATAAACCAAGGATTTGCTCCGCGATCTAGAGAAGGTGCGGCAAAAACNGCGATCTAGAGAAGGGGCGGCAAAAACCGGTTACCAAGTAGGTAACTGATTCCGGGAAGGGTATCCGGCTGCGCCACATACGTCGCGTTGAACAATAACAGGTGAAATTGGTAGCATGCCCAAGGTGTCGGTTGAAAAAGTAAGGTTTAAGGGGATACAANTGTGATTTCGGAAAGGAAGTCCAAACGTTTCGAACGTACGTCCGCATATAAACCAAGGATTTGCTCCGCGATCTAGAGAAGGGGCGGCAAAAACCGGTTACCAAGTAGGTAACTGATTCCGGGAAGGGTATCCGGCTGCGCCACATACGTCGCGTTGAACAATAACAGGTGAAATCGGTAGCATGCCCAAGGTGTCGGTTGAAAAAGTAAGGTTTAAGGGGATAAAAACATACGGCAATGATAACGGTCAACCGCTTTGTAGAAAAAGGTATCGGCAATGCAAATACAAAGGAGGCCGATTACTCGTATCAAATAGGTAATAGATTACGAAGGGGGTTTGCGGATCACGGCCCGCCGATCGAGTTCAAGGAGGGAAATACAATGGAAGCCGCTTATTAAAAACACGGATAATTGATACAATCGCGTTATCGAAACAAAATGCCCCGGGACGGACCGGCCGTATATTAGAACATTGAAAATAAATCGGATTATTGAAACATCATATCGGTTATTTGAAACAATTAGATTGACGTGTACACCGGTTATCCATCCGGCGATAACTAATGCACTTTAATCTTATCTTCGCTGTCTTTACGTTTATTTTTTAACGTGTGTTTATTATGTATGAGAATGCTCTTTCCTGAGCGTATGTTTTGTAGTTCAGCTTCGGCGAGCGTACGTAAAGGTGATAAGTGATTCGTTTTTCGAAAAACCTAAAAATGTCTAAACGCCAAGATTTAAGTTTGAAACAGAAGTGCGAGTTATTAAAGTCATACGATGTGCTTCCAAAAATTAGTTTACGTGATGCCTCAGCTCATTTAAACGTTTCTCATTCCAAATTAAATAGGATTTTAAAAGATCGTTCAAATATTGAACGCGCAACAATGAAAGTGGTAGTCGAAAAAGATTCAAACTGAAGAAGAGATTAAATCTCATTACCGCATTATAAATTTTATTATGCGGTAATGAATTCTCAAACAATTGAACAAACCAATACTGACGAAGAAGTAGAAGACAACGAGGCATCCCCATCAAACATAGAAATTATAGAAACTCTTAGTGTCCTCGGGAGAGTAGTCCAGCACCGTGCAGATGAAAAAGGCTTTGAGCAGCACTACTCCTAGGAAAATATGGAGTTACTCAATAAAAAAAAACAAACTTCGATAGACGCGTATTTTAAATATATTATTATTAAGAATATCATCCTCCATTGTGTTATAATTCAAATAACAAAAATTAATAAAATAAAAATAATGATAATAATAAAAATAATGATGGGAACTTGGGTTTTTGTATATAGTGAGAAACTGATGTTGTGGTTCTATCGGGGTCGTATGGTTCGAGGGTTTAGAACGACAAAGACAAGTAGATATAAAAATATATATTAAGTTCCTCTTATAGAGGTAGAATAAACTTTTGTCTGGTTAGTTTCTAATGTCCTAACTAAGAGGCAACGAAACGGCGAAGCCAGTTCACGAATACCTCGGCAACGAGACGGCAGAGCCAGTCCACGAATACCAGAGCCTAATTTATACAGTAGAAATCACGCTAGGTTTTTTTAAAACATCTTAAAGGCAACGAAACGGCAGAGCCAGTTCACGAATACCATATAACGTTATTATGTATAATTTCTTTAACCAACCAGTCAAAATTGACACTTTAAGATATTAATTTAATAAATGATCTATTGCTTTGTCATCCTTTACTCAAATTTATTAACTCCAAATAATTGGGATAACATAAAATTACTTACTTCTTTTATTCTTGCAAATTGCTGTAAAATGATTTGATAAATATCTCGATATGTTTTTATATGTTTAAAAGTATTTAATTCGCACTTCTTCAAAAGATAAATAATTAAAACAAGTTATTTTCATTTATAAATAAAACGCGTAAAAGTCAGCCGACAACAACACAGGGCTATGACTGATAATTGTTTCTTTTTATTCTTATTTCAATTCGGAGAAAGCCAACTCTCTCTCTGTCCGTCACTCCCTCTAGTCTGAAAGAGTTTCAGTGCTTTTTATAGTAAAATGATAGTACCCCAATCCAGGGATATTGTTGTCAGCACTTTTAGTGATCTTTTTTAGTTTATTGTATTTAATTATACATTACATGATTATTATGTTGAGATAACATATTTAACAATTGATAAATTGACATATATATAAATAATAAGAAATTGTATTGAACATCGTATTGTTATGCCAGATAAATTATTTGTTTGTTTACGAGTTATTTAAAATACAGATTATACATTTTTCATTGATAATTGTAAGATGCGTAATGCAAAGCATTGAGCATATTACGACAATTGTCCCTTGGTAAGATCTTGTGGAATCGAGGTTTGACAGGCTGAAAAGTAAACAATAAAAATCAAAATAAAATTCTAGATAAAAACTAACGAAAAGCTTACAGTACCATTTCGGAGGAATGGCGAACAGTAAGGGAGGGCAAACACCGGCTAAAAAAAACCAACATCACAGCACTATCAACACATCGTGGGTACGACAGAATTGAAAATTTTGTAACTTTACCAGAGGCTGCGACAATCTAAAATTTACAAATCATATTAATTAATATGGTCAAAACTGTAATGCGAAAAAAAAAATAATATTTAAATATTTCATTTGCTGTACAATTGTCAATTACACATTTCAATAAATAATCATGTCATTGCCATTATACGTTCATCAATAAAAACATACATATTAACTACTATTGGTAATTATGTAATAAGATGGATATTATTAAAAGACTAAAAAATAATTTTACAATAATAATCTTATTATTCAATGAAAATTAATTACCTGAGCAATAGATCTAATAGCGATAACCAACAGCAATCTCCAGCGCAGTCGTACAGGCACAACAGATAAAACCTAAAAATTTAAAAATCAAAATTATTAACACTGTCATTACCACCGTTAGACAATTAACAATTAAAAAATAATAACACTACAATTACTTTATTATAATTACTATATAAATAACTTATGCGTATGATCCATGAGTAATAAGCGCCAACCATTTGGAGTGTAAAAGCCCATCAATCCGACGAGGTCAATAGATGCACAGTATAAAAATTACAAATCAAATCAAATACAAATACCATCGTTACCGTATGCGATCATCAATTGAAAAACGCATTATTATTGCTGCGCTGTACACACAACTCGATAAATAATCACATAACTGAACCACAAACGTGTTAATAAATAAATATACAGATACAAAAAAATGAAAAATGTTTGGATCGTATTGGCCGCTACAGTACATATTACATTGTAATCAACAATAGTTTTAGTTATTATCGAGGTGGACATAATGCCCATGCAGTCAGACTAGTTGGTCCATTGTGCGCACCTCAAACCGAATTGTTTTGATTCGGTTTACCCACCTAAGTGTTATCACGGAAGGGTTAATGCATTATACCAACCATAAAGTCACCCCTATAGATGACGAAATTAAGTATCTCTCTGGATTTTGGTTTTTAATATCTTCTTTTTCTGGAAAAGGTTTACTCGAGTAGTTTGATCTTAGTGTGGACAAGGTTTCACATTCGCATATGATGTGAAATGAGTCTACCTCTTCTACTCCACACTTCCTGCACAATGGCGATTCCGATACCCCCATTGCGTTAAGATGCTTAAGCAGGTGACCATGTCCTGTCAGTAGACCAGTCAGGGTGCTTATTTGATGTCTAGTCATGCTATTAAGATCACCCAGCAATAAACCAGGGGTCTTGATAAACATTTTAGATTGTCTAGGTACTACCAAGTACTTCCAGATTTTCCTGTGTTGTTCTCTGCACCAATTCTTGGGTAACGCTTTGAGCGATTGCTCAGTGAGCCCTACCACTGGTTCTGGTCCAACATAAGTGTTCTCTGCTCCTTTCCTGGCTAGAAAGTCAGCATTCTCATTTCCAGTGACACCGTTGTGTCCTGGTACCCACGCTAGTGTAACTTTGTTGAACCTCGATAGTGATTCTAAAGTTTCCCTGCATTCGAGGACCAGCTTTGAATTCACCTGATCGTTACAGAGTGCTTTCAAAGCCGCTTGACTATCACTTAAGATAGTTAGATGTCTAGTCATGCTATTAAGATCACCCAGCAGTAGATCAGGGGTCTACTGCATATAGAAAATATGATATTCCTGTCTGGCTCACTGCTCGTATACCACCAGCGAGCCTGATATATAAAATTTTTAATAAATTATATTAGCAATTTTCTTACAATTTTAAAACAATATTTCTAAATTAATTTGGAATTCGATGCAAAAATAATAGTGGTAATGGTAATGGTTTTTTTGATGGTTAGTTTTTTATGTCTGTTCATAAAAATTCTCAGCACTCACTAGACCAATTTCAATGATCAACGCGTCCAATAAACCTGACTTTAATCTAGTTGAAGCTTACGTCATCGACAATTGTAAAAACTCCCTTAGTTTTAGAAATTTAGAAAAATATCTCAAAATCGCGCTATCGTAAAAAATTGTATTTCCAAAAATTTTTTTTTGCTATAATTTAAAAAAAATAAACTGATCCTAATGAAATTTTAATCGAATAAACTAGAGACAATAAGACTTTCTTTCCTATGCTTTTAAAGAAAATTCAATGAAAATCTTAAGTATCGCATTTTTTTTTTATTGTCCACCCAATAACTTTTATTAAGTAACAGACTCGCTGTATTTATAAGATATAGTACCATAATTTAGCTGATAGTCTATAAATATAGGAGAAATAATCTGACTAAATTTGTAAAAAATTTCGCCTATGAATCAATCTTCGTATTTTTATCAATGTGATAAACAAACAGTTTGTTACCTTCTTCATTAATAATAGAGTTAATCAAACTCATATCGCCAGTGGTTGAAATATTAGCGCCAGAATCAAATGTAGTCACATGTAGTCGATGTCTGAAGTTTCATTTTTCTTTGAATATTTTTCCTAAAACGTATTACACGTGTTGTAACTAGACTGTAACATATTTGTAATAGAGTCAACGAACGCTGGCAATTCAGAGTCTTCGGTAATTTCGACAGTAAGACCAACGGCTTGAACGATTTCATTATTATCTCTAACTAACTTTATATTAGCAAGGGATGTACTCACAAACACCAAATTTCCATTAGGACTTTTTTCGAGGAGCGCTTCATTAACCGATTTATGATGTTTAAATGTTAAAATCGCATATCAATTACATACATGGTTCATTTTACCATAACTATTCACAATGTTGAGATTACTAGATAAATACAAGGAGAGGTGCCGTGGTACATGTTGTTTGCTGACGATATAGAGTTAATAGGAGAAAATAGGGAGGAAATTAATCAAAGGCTAAAGGTGTGGAGATCAGCTCTTGAAAAAAAAGGTTTAAAAATAAATAGGAATAAGACAGAGTATATAGAGTACGAGTTTGATAAAGGAGAACACGAGGTAGGTGAAATAAGGAGACCAGTGACAATAGGTGAGGACGTGATTGGAGAGGTGGAAAGTTTTAAGTATTTAGGATCAGTTGTGCAAAAGAGCGGTGGTATTGACGAGGATGTAAGACACAGGATTAAATGCGGGTGGTTGAAGTGGAGAGAAGCGTCTGGTTTCTTATGCGATAAAAGAATTCCAATGAGGCTAAAAGGTAAATTCTACAAGACTGTAGTGAGACCAGCTATGATGTATGGTTCAGAGTATTCGGCGGTTGATAAGTAGAGCAGAGAATGAGTGTAGCAGAGATGAGAATGTTTAGATGGATGAGTGGAGTGACTAGAGAAGATAAGATAAGAAATAAGCATATAAGAGGGAGTTTAGTTGTAGCGTCAATCGTGGATAAGATGAGAGAAAATAGACTTAGATGGTTTGGTTATGTTATGAGAAGAGAAGAATCGGAAGCCTTAAGAACAGTTGTAGAAATGAATGTTGAAGAAAGAAAAGGTAGAGGAAAACCAAAAGAGAGATGGAGGGATGTTATTGAATGCGATATGAGGACATCTGATGTGAGCGTAGAGGATGTGGGAGATCGTGTCAAGTGGAAGTTTAGGATAAGGGTGGCCGATCCCAAGTAGTTGGGATTAAGGCGAGAAAGAAGATGATTAAATATAAATAAAAATTGTACTTAACTAAAATTGCTGCAAATTTTTTTTTTAAGAATAAGTAAATAATTTTGGGTTAATCTAATTATATCCATTAAATATATGGATTTGACAAAAAATTGTAATTTTTTTCGAAAAAATATTTCAAAAGTATTAAAAATATTAGTATATTTGTTCCTTTTTTTTACTTGAACTTCAGTCTAGTCATTCTCGGTTTGTTCCTTAATTTTTTGTACCATATTCACTTTAGTATATAGACTATAGTGTTATTTAAAATGGATAAAAAGGCATCACATACTCACTTAATATATATATTTCAAAAATTATTTTCAACATAAAAGCTTTTGAAAAGTAGCCGCAAAACAATTATAGTAAACAAATTTTTTATACATATAGATTGTTTATTTATTATTATTATTAGTTATTGATTATAATTACAATATTATTATTGTCACAAACACAGTATCCTCTTTAAAATATTAAAATATAACAGTATTTATTAAACAAAATTTTTTCAACTAAACTTTTATAGCACAATAATTACTCACTATTCAATTTTTATACTAGAATTACTTTCTTAAATTATTTATTTAAATATAATTAATTGTACGAAACTAATAACAAAAAACCTATATTAAATGGACAGAGTTTTAGACATACAAATATTATTTAAGTAAATGAAAGATATCAAATCACATAAAAAAAGTTATCACTTCAAGTTCCAGGAAAAACATAAACAAAATATACCTATAAATACTATCAAAATAATAACAAAATCGGGTATAATTTTTGAAAATAAATATTTATCAAGTTAAATTCTCAATGACTCATTAATAGCTTCAGCTACATAATTTATATTGTTTTTGTTTAAACCACATACATTTATACGCCCTGATCTTAACATATAAATATGATATTTATTTCGTAAATATTCAACATGACTCTCTGTAGAAAAAGTAAAAATAATAAAATGTTTAGTAAAATAATTGATTTTCAATAAAAAATTAATAACCTTTTAATCCAGTATAAGAAAACATTCCAATCTGATCTGTTATATGATTCCATTTTCCAGGTGCATTAAGGTTTTCTAACTTTTCTCTCAACAAAGATCTCATTTCCTTAATTCTATCGGTCATCATTTTTAAGCTTAACAACCTTTAACATAATTAGAGGTCAAAATAAATTAATACTAAAAATTACAATATTCAATACAATAACTAAAGTTAAAAATTTTATAAGAAGAAAATGCAATAGTCTATTTATAAAAATGTATAAAGTAATACAATATTACTAAATTTAACTTCAGATATAATTGAAAAACAAAGAGAGTATAATTGTCACTTTAAGTTTTTAAGTGACAATACCAAAATAATAAAATAAAACTTTTATTTAAAAAAACAGTTGTTTTTATAAACTTGAGCGTAAGCTTTAAATATTATTTATATATATATTGTATAGAAATTATTAATTATACAAATTAAATTTAACTCAAATAAGACAAAAATAGGTATATTATAATAAATATTTAATAAAGTGTGTGTTAGATTCAAGTTGATGTCATTTAATTTAAATTTTGACAGAAAACTAATTCAATTCAATTTTTATTTATTAAGACAAAAATTGAGCATGCTAAACTAGTGTTGCAATTTTCTAAAAATGTATAATGGACTAAAATAGGTCAATTATCTTTAGCTTACATAATAACTCTCCTGAAATTTTTTTTTTTTTGTTGCATAAAAACTTTAAACAATTATTACTTTCTAATGCTCTAATTAGATTATGCTTATGTTTGGCTTATATATTTTTTGAATATTCTTTTTTAAACACAAACTATTGTGTTGAATTAAACAAAAAAATGAATTACCATTCGTTTTTAAGCTCAGTATCATTTAGTATTGTACTGACAGTTCGTGCACCATGATTTGGTGGATTTGAATACATTCCTCTAACAATCATTGTTACTTGTGATTTAACAGCTTTAGCGATTTCAGCTGAATTTGTAACAAAAGTTAAATTACCTGCTCGTTCATCTGTAACAAAAAATTTAGATATAAGTAATTGTACAAGAAAAATATAAGCCTATTTTCTCTTTAACATCTGATTATACAATCCAAAGCAAAGAATCACAAAAGAAAAATACAAAATAAAAACACTTTTTTAATGTTCTGAAAAAAGAAACTTTTAAAACTTATACTAACTATATAAGCCAAAATTTTTAGCAAATGATTGAGAACATAAAAATTCAAATCCTTGTTTGAGAAAATAACGAACTGACCATGCATCTTTCTCTACATCACCTGATGCAAACCCTTGGTATGCATTATCAAAAAATGGTATTAACTGACGTTCCTATAACAACATTTATAATGTAAATAAAAATTATACTTATGGAGCTTACTCAGAGTTTACTTAATATTTCAGAATACTATATAATATAACTCTTGCCTTTATTATTTCAGCAATTTTCTTCCATTGCTCTTCTGTTGGATCAATACCCGTAGGATTATGTGCGCAACCATGTAATATTATAACAGAATGAGCAGGAGCATTATTCAAATCTTCATAAAATCCATCAGTATCTAATGATTTTAATTCTGTATTCCAATAACGATACTTTCGGGCATCTTTAAAACCACTGTTCATAAAAATCAAATGATGGTTTTCTAAAAATTAATAATTATAATTAACATTCAAATAAAATAAAACTAATCGGTCTTATAGGCCTGGTTTATAGTAAATAAACCTGACTAAATTCTAGTCTGTCACTAATTTTTTTTAGTTAAAAAAAAGAGAGAAAGTCTACTAATTATAGTGAATTAAAAAAAATTAAAACCAAAATAAGTAATAATCATCAACATAGCCTATATTTAGTTAATCACATTTCAAACTAACCTAAAAAAACTTGAAATAACCAAGTATTTATAAATTAACAATTTTATATAATTAAATCCAAAAGAAAAGTATGATAATAAAAAAATTAATAATAGTATGTATTATGAATTTTTTTATTATGAGTATGTGATATATATATATATATAAAATAGTTAAAACAATTATGTTTTATGTAAAATCTGTTTTAAATATGGTTAGCAAAATTATGCAATTAAATTACTTAAAAAAGTGTTATTATCTTTTCACTTAAGAAGTTGAACAATTATTTAACTATCTATGTTTTTAACATTAGACAAAATTAACAAAAATATACACAGTAGTAAATTTACTTTATTCTAAAATATAGACATAAGTAGAAATGAAAAAAATAATTTTGATGATATATTTTAATATTTTCTGCCTTACTAAAATATGTTAATATATAACAAAACTTGTAATATTTTTAATTTTTATGGGGCTAAGTACTCAAGCCAATGCTCATTTCCGCCAGTGAATAAAGAATGAAGAAAAGTAAATGAGAGTTTTATTAAAGATTTTTTTTTTATATAAATTACAAATAGTGTAAACCTTAAATTAGATAAATTAATAAACTTATCTAAAAAAAATTTAAAATTAATTTTAAAAAAGTTATTTAAATAGGACTAATGAACAACACTCCCTTCCTTAATGTATACTAACTAACAAAGAAATAAACATACCCCAAGTAGGAGAAGAATAGTAGAATGTCGTACAATTTAAATGTTTTACTAAAAACTCAGCACCAATTCTTAAAGCTCCAGATCCACTAAGTGACTGAACACCAAATATCTAAAAATATGTAATATTTCATAGTTAATATTTTAAATAAATAATAATTAATACTACTGAATAAAATCTGTACTATTAAAAAGATTCTGAAAAGTGTATATTTTATTCATGATTGATTTCAATGAAAATATTATAAAAATGGTTTATATAGTAGTGATGGGCACTCTTGAATATTTTAAACTATCAAATAGTATTCGATATTTTTTTAAAACTATCGAATAACTATTCAAATTGTTTTTATACAACCGAATAGTTTATTTTTAGCATAGACTATTGAATGGTTTTAAAAACTATTCAAATAGACTATCGAATATTTATAAACTATTCGAATATATTGTGTAACTATCAAATATTTTTACTATTCGAATAGTTTTTGAATTACTATTGAATAGTTCAAATAGTGGACAACTATCAAATAGTTCGATAGTTACTATTCGATATTTCTCATCACTAGTATACAGGTTAATCAATGTATCATGAACAACTTAATTAATCAAAAGCTAAAAATAATACTAATAAATTTTTATTAGATTTTTAGACAATAGTTTTCTTATGAATGTGTTAAAGCTTTCATGGACTGTCTTGTAGCTTGAAGTGCTTTTAAGGAATATATTTCTTAATTAATCAAACATAAAAATGTTTAATGTTTATCCCTTATAGGATGTCAACATTAATTTTTCAAATGGCAACATACCTAATTAACTAACTTGTTTAATAGATAATGATTCAATTAAGAAAATGTTTGGTCAATAACAACTTATGGATCAATATTATAGAAGTTAAAAAAATCAGTAAAATAATTATCAATCTAATTTTTATTTTTTGATCAATAAAGTGGTTTGAAAAATTAAAGCAAGAACATTTCATGATGTCATTTCAGAGTATGCTAAATCAGGGCAAACTTTTGACCAATTTTACAAATTCCCTCAATTTATCTACCATAATTAAGTCACTCAACTAATACTTATATATACAGGGTGTTCAGTAAGTCAGGAAACGGGTTTCTATTGTTCTCATTGTTACAAACAATGAGAAAAATAGAAACCCGTTTCTTGACTTACTGAACACCCTGTATATATATCATAAACATTTTTAATGGGTGGATTTTAGGTTTTTTTTACAATTAATTATAAAATAAATAATTAATTAAAAATAATAAAAAAATTATTATTATTACTTTTATTTTTCAATTAAGTAATTTATAACAAAAGAATCACTCTGTAATGTCAGCTTAGTGACAGTGACTTATTCACAGATATTTTTGTCATATTTCTATTACTTCTGTTATTACCATCAATTAATGTACAATAATATGATAATAATACATATTATAGTTGACATAATAATTTTACAGTAAATTTAAGCATAAAATTCTATAAATTTAAAAGAATAAAAATTTCTTTATGACTTCTATTTGATGAATTTAACTTTACGACTACCATAGGTAAGAATGGAATTTCATTGCTAATTTTTTTTTGAATCTATTTCAATACTATGCTTTTAACTACATTTTTTTTTAGTATTATTTAGTTGAATAAAATTATGAACTATACAGATCAACAAAATAATAAGATTGTATTTTAATAATATTTTTTGGAAAATTTGATTTTGTACTTTTTAAATAACTTTATTGATATATAAATATATCATTTACATATATATGTAAGTAATTAGAATCCAATATTAAAAAATGCAGGCCAAAAATTTGCATTCATCAGTATTATTCTATTACTTGATTAAAATTGTTAACTCTTAAATTAAGATACTACTTGTTCTATTAACCGTTTAAGGTATTAAACAAATTACTTAAGATCCTAATTTATATTAAAACATTAAAAAAAAATTACAGATCCTTCCTCCAGTTGTTTACTAATATCACCCAATAATAACGAAGAAGCAGCTTTGGTAAAGGATTCTAAGCCCAATATTGGCAAATATTCATGATTTACTGTGTTTTGTAGAACAATGGCTTCGGATTTCTTCACAACAGGCAAATGATAAGGTTTACCTTCTTCTGTTCTATAAGCTACACAAAACTATGTTTGATTATTTAAAATAAAAATAAATCAAATTTCATTAATGTACCTCCTACAGATAAATTCACTTTAAGCTGATTCTTATCTTCGGTGAACATTTTCACCAGATGAAAGACCTCAATAGGCTGGGCCTCTTGAACATCACCGTACATACTCATTTTAAACTGCAATTAAATGATCTTTAATAAAATTATAAATTAAGTTTAACAAGAAAACTTCTTTTAGAGGATTAGTAAAACTTTGGTAACAAAGAATTTTTAAGTGATTTTAAAGTACCTAATGTAGATAATCACTGTTGTAATGATCAAATATTTCGCTATCTGAATACAGCACTCAAAAGTCGATTCAAAATGTTATCAGACTATTGTACGTCAAACACCGCTTCTGTAGCTGTTTTGTTGATAATGACCTTGTAACCTCTAACTGTTAAACATTTTTTAATAAATCTTAGTAGTTTCACAGACTATATAGTTTCATATAGTCTGTGGTAGTTATAACAAGTAATATTCTTATGTATTCGTTTATAGTAATAATCTAATGTATTCGTACGATTCAAATTATTTAAATAATTCATTTTATACGCTTTAAAATTATTTTCTATTCGTAATAAGTTTATACGTTTATTTTTTGTAAAAGGAACAGACACTATAGAATTATCCAAGTCATTTAGTTCATAAAATAGTGTCTCCATTTCAGGTTTGAAATAGAAATCCTAAATGTTTAAGCAGACCAATTTTTCTACCACCTGGTCTATCCACGATAGCGTCAAGGGCATAATTAAGGAGAGAGGAGACAGATACCTATAAACAAAAATAACTACAAAGTGAAGATAAAAAAATGTTTCATTGGGTAGATCCAGTGAAAAATTTTCTCCTGTATATCTCCTCTAAAAGAAGACCCTAATTACACCCCTAGTTGATGTTAATGAAACTTGCTAACTTTATCATACCCAGGCGCGGTACAGAAGAAATTTTTGTGGAGGGCCATTTCACTATTTCTGTTAAGTGAAAACTATTTTTCAAAAAAGGCTTTTTCTAGAAAATAATTCTAATTTTTGAAGGTCATAGCTCCCATGGTTTCCCTTTGTTTTTTTCATGTGTATCTATCACCCAGGAGAACTCGCCGTTAAAAAGTCCTCTGATTACATGGCACTTGATTATATCCCTATAACTAACAGTAGCTACATTAAAATATTTATAATTAACATTTAAATCTTATTTATTACTATTTTAGCGGGAAAGTACATCGCAACCTGTGGTGGATATGACGGGGATCGAACCCGGGGCCTTTCACCTCTAATCAAATTTTTCCTAATAAATTAAGTGTTGTAACCATTCACTGTAGTCAGTATCGCATTATTTGTCGGACTAATGGTACATACTCCGGCGGCAAAAGGACGCTGTTAATTATGCTAGTTCTTCGTTTATCGTGATGAATGGGATTGATATTGTTAATAAAGTATAACTAATAAATTTATCATTTTGCGTGACGCTTAACTGTACAGAGGAGGTAGGAATATTCACCGATGATTCACTAGGGGCGGTGTTAAAGCGTCAAAACTCAGCCAAGTCTTCGAGTTTTGACTTATGCGTCTTTTGCGATTTCGCATGAATCTTTTATCAGGTTGTACGTTTCGTATAGCAATGAGACTATTTATTGAATTATTAATTAGTTGTTCGCTGTTTAAATCACTCAGTATATTAATGAGATCGTTTTTGAACCGAAGAAATATGTATATCACCTATTATCGGCTTGTAAAGTTGTCGATTTATCGTTAAGAGATAAGGCAGCAAAATTATTTAAGATAAACTAGTACGATATAATATGTAATTTGTAAGATATGTTCGCAAAATAGAGAATGAAATTATTAATGTATTTAATAACACAAAATTAAATAATTATATTCGTCAAACGTCAATTGGTACTGAACTGTCCTAATATACTCGATACTATCATAATATGGAATAACAGTAAGCTACCTTATTTATGTCCATAATAATGGTTTCTTACTTAACCTTTTCGTTTAAGATAATCAACACTTCTATTTATGCATTATATTCATATTTTTAAAAAAACATAATCCTTTTCCAACAAAAAAGTAAATAAACAGCTTGGAGAAATATTTAACACATGCAAACTGTTTAGTTATATTGTAATATATACGATTCAATCATAAATCAATTAATAGTCACTTAAAATCGTTCTTTCCGAAAAGAAATCTATAAATTATATTCGTCATCTTTTTTATTCTAATCTTAATAATTAAACACATTGTTTCAGCCCTAATCTTAAGTATAAAACTGTGGTAATGTTATATAAAATGTCAAAATAATTTGTATACTATTTATCTGTAATAATTTCTATAATTTATGCTTACTTATCAATAAACAATAATATTGAAAAAATGAGACAGTGTTCATTTTCGGGAACACAAAGTATTATAAAAAGGCAGAGCAAACCCTTACATTGCTCTGTTCTTACGGTTCCACTGAACAACATTACGCGAACATTGTCGAAATTTTTACATATTAAAATTGTGAACTAAATCGAATTGTATCATTTTATTTATTAATCATTAATTAATACTATCGCTTAAGATATTTTAAGAATTAAGAAAAATTATCAGGTAAGATTTTAAATCTATAAGAGTCAATATTTATATTATTTTAAGACCCTCGAATCACATTCCGAATTAAAGTAACTCTCACTTTTATTCAACATACCTTTCAATTTTATCACATTGTAATACTTTGTTCAAAAGCAAACACGTATTTAACTTTTTATCTATTTCATTTAGTTTTGAGTTACGATAGAACTAATTTAAAGCAGTCAAAAAAAAGTACTTCAATAATTAGATATTAATTAATTAAGTATCCTGTTTATACAGAACACGGCGCCTCCGGTAAACTGCAACATGCTTTCCCATTAGGGTCCTAACAGTTGGCTAAGCTGGCCTATATAATTTTTATCCCAATAAAATGGCAGTTCGCGGTGGTTTCGTTACCAATAAAATGTAGACTCTCTACTAACAAAGAAAAACAAGCATTGATTTCTATTTAATGTTATTTAAAATATAACCTAACTGAAAATTTAGAGATGTTGGTGGCATCTGAATTGAGTTAGCGACGGCGGCGAGTGTATATAAACCCGAAAATAAAAATAATAGTAATTAGATTAATGTGCACAACAATACTGTGCGAGTTAAGTTATCAGATAAATAAAAGTAAGTCGTTGCAAGCGTAGTAAAATGTCGTCGACTTCGTTATGTTTTTAATTAATTCAAGAGAACGAAATCGGTTTTGTTTACACTCGCGAGTACCATATACTCCTAGTTAGGTCGTAAAGACGTTTGTGCTAATCAGGAACTAATATAATTGTTAATGTTGGTGAAGGATAAATAATCTGTCCATAACAGTATAAAAAGTAGAACTTTTTTAATAAACTTCAAAAAAAATTGTGCCGACACCTTATTTTCCATGCGCAAATGGCTGTGATTTTCTATAATTTTTTTCCTTTAATTTAAAATTTTCAATAGTTCCCAAGAATATAAGATTCTTGTTCTTAATGAATCATCTTATATAAGGCCGTATTTAAAACCACATTAATACGTCTAAGGTTCCATACTTTTTTAAGGATTTAGAAATCTTGGAACAAGAAAAAAATGAGAAAATAAAGATTATTCGGTTGTAAAGTTAATAAAATTTAAGATTCGCCAAAGGCCCCGCAAATCATAGTGCCACCACTTGATGTATATTCTACGTACCGCAAATGACGTCCCTGAATAAATCTATTAATAAAATTTAAAGTTCAATAGATTCTTAAATGAATGAAAAAATAAAAACAATAGATTTTTCTAATAATTCTTTTTTGAAATTTCTAAAAATAATCCTACAATCTAACAATATCCTGTCACATTTAATAATTATTGTATGACACACAACGTTGAGTAGAAAAAAAGGTTATTAGACACACTATTTTCTTAAGTTCGTTCAGTAATATTTGAGACTTGAACTCTCAAGTCCCTGTGATTTTTTTCTGGATTATAAATTTTAAATAGTTTAATCGTTTAAATTTCAATGAATCATAATATATCTCAGTATTTTAAGTAATCGTATATTAATTATTTTGTACCTAATCGTATACAATATATGTATATTATATGATACATAATTATTTTTTAATTCAAAGTATGTTTAAAATTTTAATAAATAAATAAAATTGAAAGATATCGACAGAAATATTTCAGGTTTGGAATTCTGATAATATTATTCTTGAACGTTTATTTCTTCTGCTAGTTTCATATTTTTACTTTTCGACAGTTATTCAAAACAATTATTACGATAAATATGTTATCATCTACAATGTTGAATGTATAACTCGAGGAATCTCAGGGAATACCATTAATGTTGGTAAATATAGGACCAATGTTAAAAAGATAGAAAATGATATTATTGAAGTCGCCAAATGATACGTTAGATCAGTGCTCAGTTTTATTTCTGCCTTCTTTATTGACGTACGTTCTCTTCTTAACCTACTCTTAATTTGAATCGAACTTTCAAAAAAAATTATTTAACAATTTATTTATTTTTTTATATTTTAATATTTAACAATAAAATTAAGCACTTGCATCTATTTACGCAAGTAAAATATACAGCCTTTGGGCTATTTTAAATACTTTAATTTTTTTGAATTTTTATTAAAAACTTGACAAATTTACTCTCAGGTTAGTAAATAATTATTTTATAAAATATTTTTAATTATTCATGAGTATGTTCAAAATTTTATTTGTAAGAATTAAATATATATATATATTAAAATACTGAATGAATTTCTTAATTGATGGGGATTTACGTATTTATAAACATTCTTTTTACCATTTTTATATACAAAAATTTTTAACAAGAAAAATAATCAAGTATTATAATAAATTGTAATACTATTGATTAATAGTTAAATATTCTTAAATTCAATGAAAAATGTAAACTTTTGTGATATTGTGAGTAATTGCCTAGTATTAATAAGTTTATCTTGAGTTTTTAATACTAAGGTAAATAATTTTAATTGTCTTTAATTAATTTAGGGCTTATTTAATTAGTTATCTAATATGTTTTTAGGGATAGCAACTACTATAAAATAGGATTCTATCATTTATGTATTAATATAGTTTTTTGGTTTAGAAAGTTTATATGCAATCTATTATTTCAATATATGTTTTATTGTAAAAAATTACTATATTAAGTTATGATTATATAATAAATTATATATAATTATCATTAGAACATAAATATTGTGATTTATGGGTATTAATAAAAAATTGGGAAATCCCTATAAATTGTTGAGATTTATAATTTGAACCAGTCTTAACATTTTACTTAGGTAAATTAAATATTAAATTTTAAAAAATTCTGTCTTATGCAATTTAAATAATTTTAACTTGACTTATAGAGACAAAATGTTTGCATAAATTGGAACCGAAAAGCGTTCAATTAATTTTTTGTTTAATACTTTCTATAATTTGTTAAATTATTATAAATATGATACTGATTTATTCTATATGAAATATCTATCTGACCGTAAATTTTATTAATTTTTAATGAATGTTCAAATAAAATTTATAAATTACTTACTAATACTTTAAATTATACTTGTAGATCTAAATATTATTACTGGCCAAAACTGTTAAAAATATGCTGTTTAACGAATTTTATCTTTGTTCGTTTTAAAAATCTTCATACAAAAATTGTGCAAAAATGTATCCAAGTGGAAGTGGAGAAAGTATAAAATAATACATTGAGCAATTTTTTTCTTTAGAATTTTAACAATATTTCGGAAATTGTGAATTTTTTTAACCTTCAACAAGGTTAAATAGATTTTATATATACTTAAATTTGGGAAAGTATTACCATAATTAACACAAACCAATATATTCAGCATATTTCCTATTATGCCAAGTGGTGACTACTACATTTTTTTTGTAAAATGAAATACAGTTATTTCTTAAACAAATAAGTTATTATTTTAATTTCCTATAATCATTAAATTTTAGCTTCGATGTGAAGCGGAGAATTTTACTATGTTGTTTTTTTTTTTTGTGTCTTTTACCACTTTTTCTCAGTTCTTTTCGAACCAAATTCTTTCAACAATACGTCAAAAGATCATAAATTGTATATAGTCGAAGACATTAATTTAAAAAATTTTCCCTCGTTCCACGTAAATGTATGAAGTCCCTCAAAAAATTACGGTTTTTAAAATCGGTAAATTTCTACATATATATATATTTTTTTTAAAATTGTCATAAATGTTTGAAAAATGGAAGAAAATGATTTTTTTTGTCATTAAAATCTTAGATATTTTCCTTTTATTTGATAAATTTTTTCGATAATCTGACCCTTTACCCGCCAACAGGGGGGATTCAAAATGATAACTNATTATCTGACCCTTTACCCGCCCACAGGGGGTATTCAAAATGATAACTTTTCAACTTAACTTTTGAAAGTATTCTGTAAATACTATCACTTTTATATATTTCTTAAATTAAAACTTATGTTATATACTTTGTTGTGGAAAAGAAATGTCAAACTTTATTTTGTCTCCATGATGGAAAAAGCTACTGTGTTCAAAAAAGTGATATTTTTATGTCAAAATTCTTGATTTTATATTTTTAACTTTTATATTGATTTGTTCATTTTTAAAAAAGTTATGGCCGTTTTAAGTAAAAAAAAATTGAAAAACTTTCGAAAAGNCCATGATGGAAAAAGCTACTGTGTTCAAAAAAGTGATATTTTTATGTCAAAATTCTTGATTTTATATTTTTAACTTTTATATTAATTTGTTAATTTTTAAAAAAGTTATGGCCGTTTTAAGTAAAAAAAAATTTTAAAAATTTCGAAAAGTAGCAATTTTTTAATTTTTTTAAACCGAAAAAGGCGCAAAAAATTGATTGAGAAAAGTATATTTTTGATTCCAATGAAATTCCTTATACACTGGCGAACGCAAAGGGAGGTTGAAACCCTCCAAAATTTATATGCTAAGCGACAATTTTGGACCATAAACAAGAAGTAACAATAAAAAACATCATATCATACTATAAATATTTCCAGAATAAAGTAATCGAAAAAAGAAATTTATATAAGCGAACAATATGGGCAGTGTCGCATGTAATTTTCTTTTTTCTAAATTTCAAAAGAACTCCTCCAAATTTAATTTCTGTGTACGCCACTGTTCTTGTAGATCAATGTATTTATTCATAAGCAAAGCAAAAAAAAATTTTATAAAGTATAACATCAAGCCCTTTAATTTTTATACANTTAAGTAAAAAAAAATTGAAAAACTTTCGAAAAGTAGCAATTTTTAAATTTGTAATTTTTTTGGAGGTTTCCCCCATTTACGGGGAACGAGGGAAATTTTTTCAATTTTTGAGGGTAATGTCTTCAACTAGATACGATTTTTGATCTTTTGACGTATCGTTTAAAGAAATCGGTTCGGTGAGAGCTGAGAAAAAGTGGTAACAGACATAAAAAAAAAAGAAAATTATAGTAAAACCAATACCTTCTCAGCTTTGCATCAAAGCTAAAATAGAAGTGATAGAAAAAGTCTAATTTCAGATTTGAAAACGGCGCAAAAAATTGATTGAGAAAATTATATTTTTGATTCCAATGAAATTCCTTATACACTGGCGAACGCAAAGGGGGGCGGTTTGGGGGTTGAAACCCTCCAAAATTTATATGCTAAGCGACAATTTTGGACCATAAACAAGAAGTAACAATAAAAAAGATCATATCATACTATAAATACTTCCACAATAAAGTAATCGAAAACAAATTTTTATAAGCGAACAATATGGGCAGTGTCACATGTAATTTTTTTTTTTTCTAAATTTCAAAAGAACCCCTCCAAATTTAATTTCTGTGTACGCCACTGTCCTTGTAGATCAATGTATTTATTCACAAGCAAAGCAAAAAAAAATTTTATAAAGTATTGCATCAAGCCCTTTAATTTTTATACATGTTTGTCATAGAAGTAACAAAATATACTACTTTATCATTTTTTTATTATTTCTCCGTAAAAATTATAATATTAATTTATTAAATATTAATTTCATACTACATTTAATTGCTATAATAAATATTTATTAAAAAATTATACTTTTAAATCTAAGAACTACTAATTAGGAAACAATTAAGGAAATAGGAGTTGATGTTGCTTTTGTAATTATGCACCAATTTCTTAGAATTAAAACTATCTACAGATTTGCATCGAAGCGTTTCTTATGACAGTGATTAAAATTACTGTCAGATATCATCTATACTGGTCCCAACTAAATATCCCACGTTCATACATACGCCACTGTGCTACCGTTTTTTATTTATACCTTTATTTTTCACGGAACTCAATTTTAAAAATTAGCTATAGTTTATTTAATGGAATGCTATTTAAACTTATATTTTTTACAAAGACAATAAGTCTTAAGATCCCTTTATTTTTTCGTTAGTCTCACGAAATTTTAATTATATGAATTTTCTAAGGAAACTAACAAATTCACTTAATAAAATATGTTAGAATAAAAACTGTTAGAACCAAAAATATTAGAACTAATGTATTTAATTTAATTTCTCTAAGAAATAAATTTTGAATTACGTTAAATATAATTTTCTTTTCAATGGTTAAATTTTGTAAAATTACAACATGTTTTGACTTGTCNTTTTCAATGGTTAAATTTTGTAAAATTACAACATGTTTTGGCTTGTCGCTTTATAATTTTGTCCTATAAAATACAAAATTGAGCCGTCCAAAATGAAATGAAAAATATATTTTTACCAATTGAAATGTTTTAGCAACTGTTTGTGAGGAATAAGTCTCCTATACAAGACTGATCTAAAATATTTTCAATGAAATTGATAGTTTTAAAAACTATTCGAATATACTATCGAATATTTTTACTATGCGAATAGTTCGATAGTTACTATTCGATATTTCCCAACACTAATCTGGACTATTCGCCGTTGGATTTTTAATATATAAATTTATTATTAATTCCTTTTTGAAAAATTATATTTAATTTAGTCTAATGCTTTATTTATAAGTACTTAAAATCTATTATAATTATACAAATAAATTATTTCTATAATGTCACAAATTATTTAAATTTAATGTGTACTTAATTTAATCATTATAATAATTATATTATTTTATAAAAGTATACTATTATAATAATTATAGTACCTGTTGAATAAAAAATTAATTACTCAAGTAATAATAATATGACTGTAAATATATTGTAGTGGTGTCAGTTCTGTTGGATTGAAATAATTAATTATCCTTAATCATCTGTTTTATAAGATATTTTATTGGCTAACAATGAGAGGCGGTAAATGTGTTGTAACCAGGCTTATTAAAAAAATTATTTAAAACATTAATAAACAGATTAAAATGTTTTAAATGTCCCATATACTAATATATATTTTGAAAATTTTAGTGTTATAAATACGTTTTGAAAAAAAAATAATATAGGTATGCAAAATTAAAAATGTTATAACTATTTAATTATTTTTGCGTATTTATAATAAGTGTAAAAAAAAATTGATTTTTCAAAAAACCCTGTGGCAGATAAACTGGTTTATATCTTATTTTTTGCAAATGTTTCAAAAAAATGAAAAAAATCGACTTTCAAAATTTAAACTAGCTTAATCATCCCATTTTATCTTCGGATAAATGTAGCGAGCTATTGCTAGGTTATTAACACCTATTACTTCAGATTTCATATCACACAGCAGTGCATGAAGAACTTATGCAATTTTTTTANTGCAAAATTAAAAATGTTATAACTATTTAATTATTTTTGCGTATTTATAATAAGTGTAAAAAAAATAGATTTTTAAAAAAACCCTGTGGCAGATAAACTGGTTTATATCTTATTTTTTGCAAATGTTTCAAAAAAATGAAAAATATCGACTTTCAAAATTTAAACTAGCTTAATCATCCCATTTTATCTTCGGATAAATGTAGCGAGCTATCGCTAGGTTATTAACACCTATTACTTCAGATTTCATATCACACAGCAGTGCATGAAGAACTTATGCAATTTTTTTACAAAAAAAATGTAATAAATAAATTATATTTGAGTTTTAACAAGACATTTAATTCTGAATTCAACCAAACCAAACCCAACCCCCTAAAAAAAAAAAAAAAAAAATCAATTTCTAGTGCAAAAAAATGTATTCCATATTAAAATACTTTTGTCTGAAAAAGTTGAGTCAGAACATTTACACTGATTAGTACACGACTCAAACTTTATTTTAGGTAATATAATCTTCGTATACTAAAGGCAATGCCTTGTCGTTGAAGCCACTCCTCTCTATTTGACACCAAATTCTTCAATGAAACAAAAGATGCACAGTTGATGAGTTCTAGCATATGTTTAAAATATTGTTTTCTTGGGTATCCTCTTAGTTTCTTTCCAGTTATTTTTCCTTCAATGATGTTGATTATAAAGTTATTGTGTCGATGATGTGTCCGATTAACTTTATTTTTCTTGATTCAAAATCAAGTTAGGGAGTATAAAAACATTTTTTCTCCAACAATACAATACTATCAATTAAAGCCTAAAATGCATAATGTAAGTTTGGAATTTAGTGTGGGAATGAAGGTATATGCCTATGTATTCCTCCTGATTATGTGTTGGAGCCTATCAACTTTAAAATAAAATAAAAAGATTTTTTTTTAATATTGTAAAATATTTATCATTCATATTTTGATCACCTTCATTTTCAATGACCTCCTGAGAAGACATATTCAAAATAATAATTTAAGAATTGACCAAATTTTCTAAAAAAAATATTTATCATAATGAAAGCCTTTTAACAATGCGAAAAAAATTTTAGTAGTGAATAGATTAAATTATAAATGTTAAAAAAAATATTCTAAGTTTTTGTGTATGACAATTTATATTTTCTTAAAGTAGTTGATTTAGTGAATCGTTTAAATCATTACTAAATAAGGATATATTTCAAAAATCTAAATATTCACTTTTTTTCTGTTTCAGTCATGACTGGCCCAGCTTTAGCAAAAAAATCAGGCCCAATCACAATATCCAAGAATGGTTCTGCTTCCAAAGCTATGTCACCCAGATCTCCTGCTTCACCAATTAATATTTCTGCACGACCAGCTCCATCAGGATCACCTGTAAAGGTAGCTCCTATAGTTAAAACATCAACTAGTGTTTCTATGAAGAAACCATCAGTTACTTTAAAGAACCCTGATACTAAACCAATAACAAAGTCTACTTCTGATGCAAAGCCAGAAACTGTTAAAACTACTAGTACTTCTATTTCTTCGACCAAGTCTAAACCACCTCCACTCAAAATCAACATAAAAGCAGCTGAAACTAAAGGACCACAATCTCCAACAACTCCTAAATCTGCATCTAAAACTTCTACCACTTCTTCTGTAAAGTCAGTAGCTACTAAGTCAGCAACACTTGTTAAAGTGCCATCTACTTCATCTCTTTCAAAATCACCTTCTGTATCTTCTTTAGCTGCTAAAACATCTGTTTCTAAAACGGCTGTATCCAAATCACCTTCAGTAAGTACTGCAAAACCTTCAACTGGCTCATCTATTAAATCTCCTTTACCTACTAAATCGGTATCAATAGTGAAATCTCCAACTGTAGTTAGTAAACTATCTACAACCTCTACACCAGAAGCCAAATCAACAACGGTATTAAAATCATCAACACCTACTTCAAAAACATCAGTGTCTGTCTCCAAGCCTGTTGCTTCTAAAGCTCCAGCTTCTCCAATTTCTACAAAAACTGTTTTTTCAAAGGATACATCTCTAAAGTCGACAGTTTTATCTAGTAAAACTGTTACTGGAGTAAAGTCTCCATCTACATCAACAGCTAAACAAACAACATTATCACGTAGCTCATCTATTGCTTCTAGTATTAAGTCAGTTTCTCCAAAACCATTAGCATCTCCCTCTAAACCATTATCAAATGCTACTAAATCAGTTTCACTTGCTAAAACAACAGCTCCTAGTAAAACACCTACTGTTACTAAATCTGTTACTCCAAAAACATTGATAAAAAAAGAGGCTAGTACTTTATCAATGATATCTGTTAAATCATCTGCAACAATAAAATCTACCTCATCAAATATTTCAAGAACATCTACTTTAAGTCCTAAGTCTCCAACAGTTAAATCAACAACATCTATGTCCAAGACTGCTGTGGCACCTAAATCGCCCTTAGTAAAAGCAGCACCTACAGTAGCAAACACTATAGCTCCTAAATCGCCTGCTGTAAAATCAACTACATTGGGGGCAACAAAAACTGCTGTAGCCCCTAAATCACCGGTATCAAAAGCAGCACCTACCTCAGCAGTTTCTAAAACTGTAGCTCCAAAATCACCAGCAATAAAAGCAACTACAACATCTGTGTCCAATACTTCTGTGGCACCTAAATCACCTGTAACAAAAGCAGTACCTACAACAGCAAACATTACAGCCCCTAAATCCTCTGCCATAAAAGCAACAACATTGCAGGCAACAAAAACTGTTATGGCACCTAAATCACCAGTAGCAAAAGGAGCACCTACTGCAGCAGTTGCCAAAACTGCAGCACCAAAATCATCGGCAATAAAAGTAGCTGCATCATCTTCAGCTAAAACTTCAACAATAGTAACCAAAGCTGTAGTGTCAAAAACCTCAGCAGTTAAAACTCCATCTTCTACAGTTAAAAATACTCCAGTCAGAACACCATCAAGTTCTAGTTTATCCAGAACTAAATCTCTTTCATCATCCCGGCTTAGCTCTGTATCAACAGAAAGTTTAGCTTCTAGAACTTCATTGAAATCACCAATAAGTCCTAGACCTATTTCTGGAGTTAAAAATGTTGCTAAAACCGCGAAAAAAGTAGAGGAACCAAAAGTTAAAGGTATACGTGGTGGTCAGCCAGTCAAGAAAACCATAGAAATCCCTGGAATTACAGAATTACCATCTACAAAAATCATAGAAAATAATCAAAATATCCAGTGCTGTGAAGAAACTCAATATCTTATTGCAGAAAATGTTCAAGAAAACAATCTGGAAGTTAACTTAGAAACTTCTGCTAACAATGAAGAAATAATGAGTCATGAAAAATCAATTGAAATCATTGTAGAAATAGATGATTTGATACCTGATATAATTGAAAACAACTTGGAGACAATTAAAGAAGATTCAGTTGAACCAATGATAGTTAATATGTCCTCTGAGGAATCTTCTCTTGGAGGCAGCTGTAACTCATTAGATTTTGAAGTTGTACAAATTGATGATTGTCAACCACGTCTTAATAATATTACAAATTCTTCTGATAATTGTAATATAGATATTATTGAAAATCATTTTAATGCTACTAATGAACAGGTTGAATCTGAGTCTTGTGTTATAGAAATAGAAGATCAGTTTGAAACAATGAATGATAAATTAATACTTGGAGATGCTCCATACGAAACAGATTCAAATAAAAGTGATGCTTCAGATCATGAACAATCAAATCTAACAGAATCTACAGCCATATGTGATGAAACAAACAATGAGGAAAATATTTTTTCTTTCCCTGTCGATGCTTTCACCAATAAGATTGAAGAAAATTTTGTAGAGAAGTTTATGCCTGAAAAATTGATTAATCAATCTGAGGGACCATCTTCAGTAAGTACCGAAGACAGTAGTCTTGTTAGTCGAAAATCATACTCAGAAGCTGTTATGGGATCTACCAAAGATGGCGAGTACTATTTTGATTATGACATAGATTTGGCTGATGACTGTTTAGATGACGAATTTGATGATGATGAGAAACCTGTATTTGTAGAAGTAACAGAAAAAGAATTTCCTGAATTAAAACCAAAAGACTTGTCAGGAAAAAGGAGAAGGATTAGAAAACAGAAAAAAAGAAACTATAGTTATCGTACTGAATCTTTATCAGGTATAAATTCAACATTTTTACTACTTATGTATTTATAAAAATGGTAAAACAAAATTTTCAAATTATTTTTATTTGCAGATTCAAATTTATCTACTCCTGAAGTAGAATATAATCCTGAAGATTTCAATGGAAATGAGTTTTGCCATTACATTAAAATGATGAAAGATTGCTCATTTTATCCTAATGGTACATTTTCATCAGACTCTGTAAAATTATCCACATCTGAGTCACTTACCTGGTTGGATATTTCTGTTCGAACTACCGATGATGATTTAAGGCCATCAACAGAATCACTAAATACTTATGAAGTATTCCAAGCAAGTAACCTGAGTAAAGATTTCCTTACATCAATTATTGGTTCAACAACAACACCAACATCTACTGAAAATTGGTTTTGGAAATCAATAGAAAGCAGACACCAAACTCATTGCAGAGCAAATATAACTCTAAGTTTACAGCCTAGGCCAAAACATTTAACTACCCCACGTTTCATGACCCTATTAGCACTTATAAGTGAAGCAAAGGGTTATAAAATTGAACCATCATTATCTACACATTTTATTACTACAGATTGTTTCCCAAGGTTTAACGATAAAATTAAACGATTAATGGTCCAAGGATTTTGGTTAATTGGTCGTCTAATAACTGAAAGTTTATCTGAAGATGAAGAAGTCAACTGTGAAAATCCATTTGAATTTATTGATGGTGATATTGGTTACTGGTGGGCTGGTATCAATATGTTAGATTGGCAAGAGTACATGAAAAATTGTGGGAAAAATGAGCCACAACACAATTGTTATCAATTCATTGTAGAAGATATGGAAGAGTACAAACATTTCCGTAATGAAGCTATTAGTAGTATGGGCACTTCTCCAGAAGAATTTATGAGTGAATTTGATGTTGAAAACTTTATACATACTGTACGTAATGTGAAGTATTATTGTGATAATTATTTTGTTGAAAGTCAAGAAAATCTAGAAGCCTTAAACGAAAGTTGTGATAATGAAAGTCTTGTTGAATGGGAAAACAACTCTAAGTAATAAGATTATTTTATTATGTAACAGCAAAATTAGAATTAAATTTGAAAATTGTAATATTTAATTTATTAGTATTAGTAAATGACAGGGAGTTAAATTTTTTATGTTTAACATAACCATAAAGTTAACGTATATTACGTATTTTATTTAAGTTTTTGAGTCAAAAAATGACTGAATATATATTGTTATTATTGTTGTGTTGTAATGATAAATTTAGATGTTATGATAATACTTTGCATGTTTATTGTTGACCCTTATGTTTATGGGATATTGTGATATTTTGAATATTCTTATTTCACTTAATTAATAATAATGTACAAAATAAATAACTTATTGTGACTTATATAAGTATTCCTTTTAATTTATTTTTTTTTAATTTTGAAATTGATTACCTTACTGTTATGAAAACATTTAATGCTAAAAATTANTTTCACTTAATTAATAATAATGTACAAAATAAATAACTTATTGTGACTTATATAAGTATTCCTTTTAATTTATTTTTTTTTAATTTTGAAATTGATTATCTTACTGTTATGAAAACATTTAATGCTAAAAATTAGCAAAAAAATCTAACAGTTTTTAAATAAATAAAAAATTATGTGCCAAATTGTTTGTCTAGATATTTTTAACAATAAAAATATCTAATAGATAAAATAGTATTAACAATAATGCAGTTACCACAATTAGCATTTATAAATTATTATAAATGTAATTTGGCTTTAGAATAAAAATAAAATATTAATTCTAAAATATAGCCTGTAATATGTATTTAAACATAAAATTTACTTGATAAATTAATACGTTTGTCATAACTGTCAGCTTTTAATTAAAGATGTGAATTTCAAAATAATTTATTTTCACTAACTTAGCACAAATTACATAAAATTATAGTATTGAAACTAGAGACCAAATAAATTCATTTAAAATAAACAATATATTACAAAACTATTAAAAATATTTTACATATTTTACAAAAATACTATCTGCAGTTATTAGATCAAATATATACAAATTATTAATAGAACAACACATTTATTTTAAAATAAAAAAAATTAAGTCTTGGTTATTTAACAAGTATAATAACAACCTAATCAAAAATTATTATTTCTTTGATTGCATATCAACAAACAATATCTACAATTTTAATATGTTCAAAATTGTACAAGGTACATGCATAATAAAGCACCATATAATTTCATTTTACTCTTTTTTAATGAGTTATAGACCATGCTAAAATTTTAAAGTTAATTGGTGATATTTAATACATTTCATAATAAAATTTGACATTATTAAATAAATTATATAATATTCTTAGTTTAATAATTAAGTAACTATAATAATAAATTATACAACTCAATTCTCCATTTAATGTTTTTAAAACATTATATTAATGTATTTAATAGTTAAAAGTTATAACTTTCATAAATTTTGAAATTTCTTGAGTTACTTTAAAAATATAAATAAGATTAAATTCTTAAACTAATACATGCTTATAATTTAACTGACTAAAAACTATTATTTCTCTTTGAAATAAAACCTTAATTAAATTACTTAACACCAAGTCAAAAATAATTTAAAAATACTATATATAGTGTATAGTAACTGTATAAAGGTATAAGGTATCCCCATATTATGATACTTCATAGAATTTAAGAGTTTTCTGGGTCAATAACATTTTGGTATTCCTGAGGTTGATTAGAATGCATAGGTGGTGAACTAGCAGATTCTGTTTTATATAAAATATCATGACATAATGGGCAACGATCCTAAAGCATAAAACATTTGAATAAGTTACTTTAATTTTTAAATAACATTCAAAGAATTACCTGCACATAAAGCCATTTCCGTAAGCATACACCATGGAAAAAATGGTTACATTTGGTAATTTTTGCTGTTCCCATGTTTTGATAGCAAATAGCACATACATCATCATGTTCAGCTAGTTGCTCACTTGTTGCTTCTGGTAAGGATTCAATTTTTTTTACAGCTGTACGTCTTTTAATAAATACTCTCCAACCATCCCTAGCATCACACCAAATATTAAAGTATGCATGGATACACATCATGGAGGCTCGAACAGCACCACCAGATACAAAAACCATAATGTATACACCGTTCAAAAATAAAAATATACCAAAACAGAATTCAACCTGTAGTTTAAAACAAATTGATCAATAAACAAATTATTTTTATTTTAATGGTTTATTTACCGTATTTCCAAATGATTTAATGTAATACACATAGTCATCCAGCTGTTCCCAAAAAGTAGTGCGATACGCATCAATTAAAAATAAAGAATACACAGCCAATGATACAAGTACTTTTATTATGATTTCAATATTAAAGGATGAAACAGCTAATAACCAAGTACTAATTGAATGGTTAGACCATAAGTAAGTTAGCATTGCAATTGGAAAAATTATGAGAAATCCGCAAACCAAAAGAGCTCTAATATGTCTTTAATAATAATAATTTAATTTCAATTGTATCAATCAATAAGAATTTTTTTAAATATTTACCTGTTTAGTGAAGGATTATGTGAAGCACTTAAAGACATTAATAAAGGGTTAACAATGTTATGAATATAATGCAACAATGCAGAAAATAATAAACATATATTTCTATAGAGCCTAATAAATCTTTTTTCTGGTTCCAAACCAGTCAATCCTGTTTGTAAAGCAAGAATATAAAATAGTACGGCGGAAATAGTTCCAATACTCTTGTCATCTACATCGTCAGTTAACAAAACCTAAAATTTCATAAAGAAAATTACAATTATAAATCTAAAAATTATTAACTAATATGCCATTACATATACATCAAGAAAACAATTAAGTAATGATAAGTTCAGAAAAATAATGCAAAAGAAAAGTTACTTCGTTAAAAATCTCTGAAACTACAATAAACAAAAAAAAATCTACTTCTTAAAAAAATGAACCTCTTTGACTTTTTAATTGCTTATTAATAATAAATAAATCTGCTACTTTTACACAAAAAAATTGTCTTTTATTAATTAGAAAGGGATGTTTTAATGTTAAAAAAAAAAACTCTAAAAATTTTTATATTTTAAAAAGTTCTATGGAAAAATATTGTCTACAATTTTTTATAATAGATTGAAAATTATTTCACTAACTAGAATAATGTATGTTACCCAGTATTATATAATTATGCAAGAAAGTCCCAAAAGAATTGAATTAGTCATTTGAAAAATATTGTGTTAAAGATTTTTATTAATTTTAGATAAAAGTATTTAATATACAGAGTGTTCAATAAGTAATGAAACAGGTAAATTGTTCTAAACAATGAGAAATAGAAATCTGTTTCCTTACTTACTGAACACTATATATTTGTCTAATGTTATTTTATGACTGATCAAAAAATAGTTTTTGATATTATAAAAGCTTAAGAACTAACTTTTAAAATCATATTTATTATTTTATGCTATTTTCATTAGATTTTATAACAATTTTTTTTTTTAAATAATATTATTAATAATATTTTCTAACTTTTAAAAGTAGCAAAAATACATTTCTTAAAAAATAAAATGACTTATATTGTTTTTAAAATGACTGATTCAATGACTAATAAAATTTGTTTACTTACCCATTGGAAAAATGCTCCAATATAATGACAAAAATATGAAACAAAGCTTGTCATACCTAATACAGCAGTAAAAGTATCACATCCTTTTATTAATAAATATTTAATAAGATCAAACATAGATTCATTTTTAACATCTACATCAGTAAGAAGGTATAATGTTTGTTCAAGAACACGCATTGACCAAAATATTCTAAGAACAATTGGAATATTCAAACGATTCCATTCATTTTCAAGGAAAGCAGAAATTCCAAAATTACTAAATAAAATCAATTAAAAAATTTAATTCAATCCTTGACACTTTAGTAAAATTACATATCTGACATGTTTTTTAAATATAACATAATATTAATATAAAAAATACTTTTATAAAAACACATTTATCATGTCAATATTCAGACAATATATGAAATTCATTTTAACATTTATTTTGACAGTTTAAAATTGCAGGTTGATGGTATTGCTAAATAAGTTACCAAATACAAACCAAGTTATAACAATTCTTACTTTATTATTGTTTTGGTGTACTTGTATCCTTCTTGAATCAAATTAACTAAAGGAAAAATATTCACCCATAATGATTTAATCATGATAAATAAAGGCAATAATGTAGCTAAAACAGCTACAGTATTCAATGCACCTTGTGTTCCAGGAACTAGAGCTATTAAAGTAGGAATAATAAAGCTGAAACTTAAAATCTGAAAATTTAATTCAAAAAAATACTTTATAAATAATTATTGAATAAATTAATAGTATATTAATGTATACATTTAAATTTACAGCTAAATCTCTAAATAGAGAATAGATATAAAAAATTGTACTCTTATGAGATAATTATTTAATAAAGAAAATTATAATAAAACTAAATATGTTTGTCAGTGTTCTGCTAAAACTGCAATTTTTCTTACACATTTATGGATTATATATTAGGTATCCCTTAATACCCTTTATGAAGAATTTTTTAGATAACAGCTGTGGGGATTGGTATATGACAAATCCAATTACTTTTTACCTAAAGCTGGGTTCCCATTACTCATATATTTTCCGGCTTTACTATATATGAGGAATATTTATTATTTATCTATAATTAATAAGCAATGTGAATGGTGTACTTGTATGAGTATTCGACATTTGTTCATCAGTATTCGTTATACATCATCTTCATGACAGTTGTTGGTATTTGTGAAATGAATCAAAAGCATCCTAAATATTTGTCCAAATATACTATAGCTGGAAACACGGTCTACTATGCTACGTATTTTATTTTAACGGATACTCTTTCAAATCAATATTTTATTTATTTAAATAAATTGTTTTATTTAATTATTTGTTTTGATTAGTTAATTAAATCAATTTTTAATTGTATTAATTATTATACAAAGTGACTTTTTAACCCTAGTCAATCAATTAATTTTTAAAATAATGAGTTTTTTGAAAATATTTTTTTTGGATTTTGTTGGTCACATATGTAAATCTATATACCTGTCATAAAATAATTTTTAGGTTCATCCCTTATATCTTATAGAGGAGTTAATTATTATTAGAAACATTAGAGCTTATAAACTTTTAAAAAACTAATAAATGTTTGTGTATTGGGTATTCAATAACAATGAAAATATGGAAAATACAAAGTAATTTAATAAATTGACGAGTAATTGGAATATTGCTGTAAAATTGTTTTTTAAAAACAATTTTTACATTTTTTGGCTATGTTAAAAGAATAATTTTTTTTTGTCTTTAATAAGAAAAAATAAAAATGGGTAGGTATAGCTCAAACTGGTGTATATAACCTTCACCTACGCAACATAGTCATTATAAATATTAAATAGATTGTTTAATTCAATAAGTGCTTATTCTAAAATTGTTATCGACCCATCAAGATTTTATAAAAGAATAATGCTAAAAAAATTATTATTTAAAAGTTACAAAAAAATGTAGATTTTTTTCTTATTTGAAACAAAATATAAAAAATATACTTTTGATGCAAAAATTAAAAAAAAAAAAAATTATAGCAAAATGATTATTGGATTTGTCATATATTTGTGTCTCATTGGTCATAAAATACGAATAACCAAAAAATATTAATTACTTTCAGTTTTATTGCTTTCTAATTACATAAAAAGAAGATGGCAACATTAAATTTTTTTCTTTCGAAGATCAAAGTAATTTATGGCAAATTATTGAATGAAATAAATGAATCTTTGAGTATTTTTCATTCCTTAACTTTTAAAAATAAACTTTAATAGAAACAATTACTTTATGAATTGATTTTTGTTTAGTAGCTGTTTGTAAAAAATCAAACACTAAAGAAAGGCAGCATTGTAATATTGTGTTACGACATATCAAGTACAAGAAATCAATGATTTCTAATTGTGTAAAAAGTTTGAAAATTCCATTAATGTCCAATGTTATGACTTCATCTACTATATCTATTTTAATATTTTCATATTTCCCAGAAAGCACTTTTAAAGATTGAACATTTGTCCAATATGATAGAAGTACAACACAAACTGATACTGAATGGAGATAAACTAAATATAGATACTTAGCAGGTAGTACAAATGAACATAGAGATGCGCAAAAAACTAAAAAAAAAGCATAAAATTAAATATATATTTTAACATTATGATATTTTTACTTACTAATACAGGAGAATATTATTTTTATAAATGATAATAGAATAGCTTTATAATACTGTGCAGAATCATCACTTTCCATGTAAACAATACTACTATTATGGTGAACATTATTTAATGGAAATAATGTTTCAACAATTTCTGGTAAACCAAAACTACTTTTAAAGAGTTCATCCATAATAAATATGGGTGGAACTCTTAATAGGTTACAAAGGGTCATATTTTAGGTAAATTAAATTTTCTTCAAGTATTCAATAATATTCCTAGAAAATTATTATTATTAATAATCAAATTTATTACACATTCCACGCTTATAATTAACATTAGTAATTACTTGACATACTTAGCTTAATGTGAAGAAAATTTCAAGATTATTGACAATATTCAGTCTCAATATTTAACACATCTTTTTAGTAGATAATATCTTATTGGAAATTAATTTAGGAATCTACGAGTAAATTTTTATTTATGTTTCCAAATAATAGCAGATGTTAAATTTAATTATATATTAATATGTCTAAGATACCAAATAAAATTTTAATTAATAATTTTATAAAAGCTCTACTAGGCATTATTTCAATTTATATTTTATCATAATACATTACTTTTTGTATAAAAAATCATTATTTTTAATTCTTATTCTTTTTTCGATGTCATAATGTTAGTTCTATATACTGGAGTACCTTGATAATAGAATATTAATGATAATTATAACTATCCACAGATAATTATAGCCTTGATACTTAATCACAAAATAATTTTAAGGCTAATATATGTAAAATTATTATTGGAATCAACCATGAGAAATCGAGCTCTTATTGTGCTTATCACTTTTAGAATAATTTAGAGATAACATTAAATCATAACATAAGAAACATGAATCACAGCACTTTTTGTAAAATTAAAAAAAAATTAGACAAAATAAGAATCGATATTTTAAAATCAATAAAAATTGAAACACTTCTTAAATAATATTCTTAAATATATATATATATTATTTGTAGATAATTCCAAAAACTATGTACTAGCTTTGTTCAAGGCGTTATCAATAATAACCGACATTTATTATTAATTTAAAATAAAAAATCATTTACTAAGTAAATGATTTTTAATTTAGTTTTTTTTCTTATGAAATATTTTATAAATGCGTTATTCAAACTTAAATTAAAATGTATGAAATTGCAATGTATGTATGAAATAATTAATATAAATAATGTGTTAGTATTATTGACAATTCATGAATTATAACATTTTTTTAAATTATTTTAAACAAATTTAAGGTACTTATTAAATGTTGCTAAATTAAAATAGGTTAAAATTATTACATACAATTAATCATTTTATTTACTTTTAAACCCCGCTAAAATGGTTATTCAAATCATCATCTTATCTTAAACTATATAAGAAAATTATTCATTTTCCTCTTCCAACTAAAAAAAACTGTATCTTCACCATATAATTATTTTTTTTATAAAGATTTTACGATACCCGTACCCCCTTATAATTACGCCAATGTCATCATACAATTTATACATTTAAATACAAGCACAGATCTCAAATTTCTAAAAAGATACCGAAATGTGCTCACAAAATTGCACTAAGCATCATAATATGCATCCAAATAATTGTATATTTAATACGAAAGTTTTTTTATAGAACTTAAAGTCGTGGACTTAATGTAGAATTTAGCCTAAATTGTATTCTTATTCATTTACCATCTGCTGATAATGTGTGAAAAGCGAATACAATTATAAAAAGTTGTTTTTTATAATAAACTCATAGACTTATAAAAAATATATATGATAAATAAGATTATTAATATACTGTATTGTTATAATAATGTATATACGAAGTTGTACACTTATAACCGTGCTAAATTTATATATAACTTATCAAACATTTCATATATTGCTATACCCAAAATTGTATCCTAATATAAACTGAGTGGACATCAAAAAAAAAAAAGTTAAAAGCGAAAAAAGTACATTTAAACAGTGAGCTGATTATTATGCTAAAGTTCAAACAAAAGATATATATAACAATAAACTTTATTAAATATATCAACACATTTTGTATTATAAACGTATTTAAAAGAAGTTGACAGAAAGTATCTGTATACTTAATTAAATATAATATATAAAAATAACTAACATAATATCAAAACAAAAAAATAATTAATAATCTAATCCAAGTTCATAAGTGACAACTATAAAATATATTAAATATGAATAAAAGAGACAAATTAACTAAAAAAATAATTTTCTACGAGTTTATAGTCAGAATATATATATGCACAAAAATGAGACGTTAACCCAAATATTCATAATAATTATACGAGCCTAAACGTGACTATATACTTTTGGAAAATTTAAAGAATTAAATTTATATTATGAAAGTATAAAAGAACAAAAATCAGTTTTACAAATTTTACTTACCAAAAATAATTTTATAAGTACTTATTATGTAAGTGAAAAAGATTTTTTCCCAAAACCATATAGACCTCATAGAAATTTTTGAAATTTTAACATAAAAACTAAAATATAAATAAATAAATTAAATTAAATTTGTGACCAGGAGAAATAACAATAAGCCACAATAAGTTGAAAGGTAGAAGAAATGCACTAAAAAAAACTAAGGTATAATTACTAACGTCAAGTATTTTAAATTATAAATTAAGAAAATAGAGTAAAGGATTCACAATAATTTAATTTAAATTATTTTAAATGTTTCAGCTGTATTAATTTTATCTAACAATATATTCAATATCAAAAATAAATATAATATAGAGAAGTAAGAATCAATGTACAAAAATATCAGAAAATATAATTTCAGCATTATACAAAAGTCAGTAAAATAGAATATTTGCTCTAAAAGTTTACTAAAAAATGTAACATAATATAATATAATTTATGCAGTAATAATTCATTTGATTAATTAATTACATCTATATAACAGAAATTTAAATTTTTACATTTATAAAACATTTTATCTAAAAAAATAAAATAATTTATTTATCTATTTACATTTAAAATAATCATAAAATAGTAGGCTAAATTAATTTTAATATTAATATATAAGACATTTAAAAAGTTATAGTTAAGACAAAAATAGGTTTTAAATTAATCGAATGTTTGCGAGTCACAATATAATGAAGATATTCCATAATTTTTATCAAATTAATGAATAACATTTACCAATGATTACAAAACTATAGACATAAGTAAACAATTGATTGTTAAAATAATTAGAGGGAAAATGAATCATTTAAAATAGTTTTACTAGTGAAATAAAACATTATAACATGAACATTTTATGAATCTAATGTAAGTAACTAGGTGAATAAATCAATTAAGAATAGGATAACCCTTTTTCATTTTCTTTTTATCAAGAATGATATATTAATAAAATTTACTGAAGAACCAATGAAATAAAATGTTAACTCTACAATTTTTATAAATTAAAAAATATTTACTACTTTGGTGATTTTATTTCAGAGGCAAATTAAAGTTGGGGAGTTTCTTGGGATTGTAAATTATCAATTTGTTTTTGTAGTTTGTTTGTTTCAAGTTGCGAATCTCTAAATAAAACATATTATTAATTTTCTTATTATTATTTTTTGGTAATAACCACTTACTCTTGAAAAATAGTATTGGTTAAAATATAACTGTTTTCAAATTTATTCATTTTTTCACGAATAGATGATACTTGAGTTCTGTCTAACTAAAAAAATAAAAATAAACTATATCTATACATGTGAGATAAATAAATATTATTTATATCTACACAAATATATTATTGCTCAATACATTAAATATTAACTTCAAATATTGTGTTACATTGGTAAATAATGATATGAATAATGTTTTGCCTGACAATTTTTAAAATTAATTTTCACGTATTAACATTATCAGATGTTATACTTATTAGAAAATATGGTATGTAGTCAATAGGTAATCAAATTTATCAAAACAACATCTGATATTAAAGTCTAAACACAACTATGTTTATAAAAAAAGTATTTAATAATAAAAAACCAACACATTTAAATAGATAATCTAAGGAAGTTTAAAATAGTTTTAGAACAATACATACATTTTTAAAATCATCACATCAATATCATATTTATTTAAAAACGTTAAAATAAATACCAATTGTTACTAGAATTAGTTAAAATGATAAAAATTATTTTTATTCTTAATTTATTAGCTTCGATGTGAAGCTGAAAAGATATTAATTTTACTATGATGTGTTTTTTGTGTGTGTCTGTTACCACTTTTTCTCAGCTCTCACCAAATTGCTTTTTTAACAATATGTTAAAAGATTACAAATTGTGTCTAGTCCAAGACATTACACTCAAAAATTGAAAAAATTTCCCTCGTTCCTCATAAATGGAAAATCTTCAAAAAAATTACAAATTTAAAAATCGGTAATTTTCAAAATTTTTTCATTTTTTTTTACTTAAACTGTCATAACATTTTGAAAAATGTATGGATCAATACAATTTTTTTTTTGATAGATATATTAAATATTTACCTACTATTTTGGTATATATATTTTTTAAATCTGACCCTTCAACTGCCCACAGGGGAGATTCAAAATAATAACTTTATCAACTTAACTTTTGAAAGTGTTGCAGAAACTTTGACACTTTTATATATATCTTAAATTAAAGCTAATGTAATTTACTTTATTGTAGAAAAAAAAAATTTTTAACTTTATTTTGTCTTCACGGTGAAAATGGCTATTGTATGCTATGTTTGTGTTAGAATTCTCAATTTTATATTTTACATTTTTAACTTTTTATTTCTAAAACTCTTCCAAAAATGTATGGATCAATACAATTTTTTATAAGAAATACTATTTATAAACCTTTTTCATTCAACACACTTTTTTTTAAATTGTATCATTTTCCTTTATACAGGGGTGATTCAAAACTTAAAAATACGTATAAAAAGTAGAACTTTTTCAACTTAGTTATCATTAAAATAAATTTATAGATTATTCATATGTAACCTCATAATCAAACATAAATATTTATTATATTAATTAGAAGGATTTTATTATTATTTAGGTCATATGCAAAACTTTAACTGCAGATTTAAAATCACTGCAAAAATAGGTTTAGAAAAGTATATTTTGGTCTCTGATGAAAATTCCTTGTAGACCAGTAAATTTATTTATAAATAACAAACAATTTTTTTTTTAAGTATTGCATCAAAAATTTTAACTTTTATATACGTTTGCTATAAAAGTTATAACTACTTTATAATTTTTTATAATTTCTCCATAAAAATTACAATACTAAATTATTAAATGTTTATTTCATACTATATTTAATTTCTATAATAAATATTTATTCATATATTATACTTATATATCATAAAACTTGTAATCAGGATATAAATAAGGAAATTAGATCATATTGCTTTTTAAATGATTAACGCTAATTTTTTTAAATTAAACACTATCTACAGATTTGCATCAAAACAAATTTTAAGATAGTAATTTTAATCACAGTCAGATTAAATCTATACTAGACTCAACTATGCCACGTCCCCACTGTGCTGGGTTTTTAGACATGGATGAATGGGTGGAATCGTACGTTAAACCTGGATTGTCAATAGAAGATGAATTAATTTGTTTTTGAAAAATGTCATTACTCCTATATATACTACTTAATGCAAAATTATAGCCAGATTTTTTTTTTAATTGTCATATTTATAAAAAAAAAAATTTCTGAGAAAAAATTGTATTCCTAAATGATAAACACTTTTTAATATATAACTACCTTTATAATTAATTACGGTTTATTCTTAATAGAATTGATGATTACCTATTTTAAATTGATTTAATTTCATATCTGACATAAAACAAATATTTAAAGAAAAATTATAATGAAATATTACATTTTGATACTTAAATTTAACCTTAAATAGCTCAAGTTATTTTTTAAGTGAATAAGCATACAAAATGATTTATTAATTCATGAGTATTTAAATTGAAAGCCAGAAATGAATCATCTAAATTATTACTATCAAAGTAGTAAATAGAAAAGCAAATTATTAAATAATTACTATTTCTTTATAGTTTATAATTTTTCATAGTTTGAACAAGATAAAAATCAAACTTACTAAATTTTCATTGAAACTAGTACAAAGTTGATTTAACTTAGATTCAAGTGTTTTTTCCATTAAAATGTGGGCAGTTCTTATTTCTTGAATAATGTCTATAAAAATAAATTTGGAAATAAAATTACTTAAATCATAATAAAATTAAATGACATAGTTAAATTTTAACTTACTTGTTAGAGAACCTGCATCATTACATGCACAATTCTGATTATTTTTATTTGAAATCTCTAATTTCAAGTTACGCAACTCAATTTTTAAAAACTCTAGTTCATTTGAAAGTCTGTAATTTTCTTGTTTTAATTCTGCTATTTCACTAGGAAAACATGTTTCAATGGATTCTACATCAGATCCACTGCTCACCAGTTCAAATTTATCATCTGAATTATTCAAACCAGGATCACTACGTGTGCGTTTCATTTCAGAATCATTATCTATAACATTAATAGGTGGCAAACTAGTGAATTGATCTTTTGATTTTGCTAATGAATCTTGTTCTATATAATCTCTTCCATACCCTATAGGTACATAAGGTTGATACATAGGATATATTGTATGATATCTAGGATCAATAGGTATATTCATAGGGATAGGATATCCACATACTGCAGAATCAGACATTGTTGGATATAACCGCTGATTGGATTGGTTCCATTGAAAAGGTGAGAATTGAGTAATGGGTTCACTGCAATTTTGAAAATGATTAGTTTTGGAATATTTTTGCTTGGAATTTCTCGAGTTTTTCTTAACACTAATATGATTCTTATTACCGATAGCTCCTTTCTCTGAATAATAATCTGGTAATTTTACCCTAAAAAACCCAAATATTACATTAAATGAAACATAATAGTTATAAAAAGCACTAGAAAGTAAATAAAAAAGAGCAACATTATATTTCATACTAGAATAAAACAAGCAATACCTGCTCTGCATTTTTTATTAGTGAATATTAGATCGTACTAATAATTTAAAGCACCAAATTTAATTATTATATAAAAATTATTTTAAGGAAAATTCAAAATTATTTAAACTGATGGCTACTATCAGTTTGAAAATTTTAAAAACAATTAAGTGGTTCAACTGTTAAACCATTAATTTTGTATGATAATAAAGTGGGTCTTAGCAATGATAAAATTGTTTAAAATTATGTCATAGCCTCGTGCTTTTCATGGACATATCTGAATATAGGACTACCTGTAAACTCTTAATTCCATTTGTATTACAGATGGAAATTGAGAGAGAGCTGACAAGGCTAAGATTCCTGATAATTTTTTAACTATTATTAGAAACAAGTAAATTTTTTGTTACTAATAGTAACATCCACTATGTAGATAGTAGGCAAGTTACTAATTACTAAGTTTCATAGTAAACTAGCTTATTAAACTGAGCTTATTTTGAACATTGAATGACCGTCATATGCCAAATTTCTTAATACGGTATCTTCACACAATCATCTGAATATGAAAAATAATTCCTATTTGAAATAAAAAATTATAACAAAACAAATTTCTATGGTTTACAATACTAGATTAATCCTACTTTTAATTTTACTATCGGCATAAAATCTGATTTGTACCATCACATCTAGTTTCTGTGATAATTACTAATTAGTAATTAATCGAGTAGTAGTAATTAGTAATTAGGCATTAAGACAAAATATAAAATTGTCTATTTTAATTGTTATAAATTTCATTGCAATATTAATAGTTATAAATTCATAACTAGGAATTGGACCAAAAATAAATTTATAGTGAAAAGTTCAACTTAATATTTTGTTAAATATGTGCAATAAGTTTAAAAGCTTAAAAAAAAGTTTTAACTGGTCACAGCAATAATTTTTATACTTTTCATGAATTTTTAAGTGTGTAATTATCAATTTATTACTAATTAGTAATTATCACAGAAACTAGATGTAATGGTTAAATCAAATTTATAAATCGACAGTAAAATTCAATATAGCATTTATTTAATATTGTAAATCGCAGAAATTAGTTTTGTTGTTCTGTTTAATTTGGTAACCTAATGTCAAAAGCATTAAATTGTATTAAGTTCATGATATATTAATTTTAGGAATTTGTACATTGTATTTTCTTAAACTTATGAACATTATATTGTAATATTGGTCCAAGTATTAAAATATTTATACAAATACTCTTATATTAAATTAATTTGGTCTTAAGTTTATTTTTATCAAATCATATATTTACATGTTTTATATATTAATAAAATAAAATTAAAAAAGTTTAAGATATAATAATTTTAAATAAAATATACAAAAAGTTCTAATTTTTTGAGCCTTTAATAAAACCAGTTTTTTATAGGTTGACAGTTTTTCAAAATCCTTTATTGAATGGTAAATTTGTTTCTTTATTTCCTGTTAGAACCGATTTTGATTTTTATAGGTACTTTTTAAAAAAGATCCAATCACTGATTTTAAGTATCCATCTAAAACTATATTGTTCATAATATGGTTGAATATTATAAATATATTTTTCATAGCATCCAACCATAGTATGAATTTCTACACATAAAAATAAATTAATATATAGAGTTCTATTTAAAAAATTGACAGCCACTTAAAATCTATACTTAAGTTTTTTGATTTCAACATTTCATTATTTTCGTAATATATATTTTTAAATAATTGATACCTTATGTATAAATTATAATATTTTTATGAAAATTAACAAAATAAAATCAGGTTTTATTATAAAACATTTGAATATAAATATAGTATAATATAATATCATTTGAATATTAATATAACTTATTAATTTTATAGAATTAATCAAATTATGATTTAGGATAACAATTTTTACACATAAAATAGTTAAATTATAAATGGTGTAATTATCATTTTATAGAAAGGGCTTAGAAACAATAAAATAAATCTTTTTTATTTTTTATTGAAGTCACAATAATAATTATAAATTGCACTAAAAAAAGTACAGATATTAAAGAGATCAAAGTATTTAATACTTAGTAATAAATTAAAAAAAATAAAGTAAATAATAATAACAATAAAATAAATTTCATTAATGTAATAAAATTACAAATTATGGTAAGTAATTTCAACTAATGCAAATTAACAAGTATTTAAATTACAAAAAATAATTTATAAATATATGCTTACAAAATCTTAATTTCTCATCAGCAACTTTCAAAACAAATAATTAACTTAATATTTACACCATCAATTAATTAATAAATACGAAAGCCACAGACAATCATTTAACAATAAATAATTTAAGTAAAATTCAAAACATAAAATTATCATAAAAATTATGGGTACAAAATAAGTCATTGAAACATTTATTATTAATTATTTACTCATTTTTACGAAACTAAGTCATGTATTATAAAATCGATAGTTTCACACTTAAATAAATAGTAGGATTAAGTTGGTAAAATAAGTCTAAGTCTAATTTTTTTTTTTTTTAATATTTTTAACATTATATTCAAAGCATAAACACCAAGGTGTTGTAGTTTTGTTACATTTTAGTTCAATATTAATAATTTTTGTTGGAATACTATCAATTAATAAATTATGTTTGTTTTTTATATAATATATAACATTATGTAATCCTGTGAGTCTATCCCTTTTTCTGGTAACTTCACGTTGATTATAGCATTTAGTCATGTCACGTTTTCTTACAGCTCTATCATGATTATGTCTGTAAAATATTACAATTTATTGGAATAAACTAATAATGCTCTGAGATTTGATAAAGCATATAATTCAGTTGGAATATGTACACGAGATTTGATTCTGTTAAATCTAGCTACATTAGTATTATTTGTCTTCTCACAAACACATTTTTTGTAAATTTTACAAGAAAATGTTATACTTATAAATTTAGTAGATTGTAATTTTAATATTTTAATTATTAAGCCGTAAAGCTAAGTATATTAAGTTAATAATATTTTAGTACTTGAATGTGTTTAAAACTCCAGTAGTTAAATTTCCTGGCCTATGAATACGAATTTTAGCTTCTTTTAAACGTAAATAGAACTCATCATCTTCAAGGCCCCAACCCCAATAATTATTACTAAGACCATTTATTTCAATAAAATGTTTCCTAAAGAGTGATATTAAGTTAAAAAAAATACAAACAATCAGTTTAAAAATATATTTATACTTAGTTATTAGAAGAATACCACCAACAAAGGAAGAATAGTGGTAACGAGGATGTAAATGAGGTGCAGCTATATGGCTAACATGTCCTTTTGGAGGATAATGATAATCTAACAATGAATTAAGTGGTAGTAGATCAACATCATGCATTGCAATATAATCAACCAAACTGTCTGATGAAATGATCTCTTTAAATCCTGCATTAATTAAAGATCCTCTGTTAAAACGAAATTGATCAACCTAAATTTTAATAAAAAAAAAAAAATTACACAACATAAATATTATATAATTTGATACTTACTTGATTTAAAACAAATATTTCATGACTTATACTTTGACTAGTTAAAAATGAATGAATATGAGGTACAAATTCTAACAACTCATCAAATCTATCTCTAAAAGGTACTAATATGGCTAATTTCTTATTTTTTAATAATTTTTCAGGCTGTTCAGTGAACTTCAAATATCTTTCATTCTCTATTTCTTCTGAAAATAAAATTTTTTTTAAATACCTCAATTTTTAAAAAAACATTTACATAAATATCAATAATATTACTTACGGACATACAATAAAGCTAACAATAAAGTAATAACTAATGTTAGCGTAATACCTATTAATAATATCTTAGCTTTGAACATCATAATATTTATAAATAGTTAATGAATAACATAATGTAAGTAATTTATTAATAAACAAAATGAGAGGAAATAGGTTAATGACATTCATTTATTTTTTTTCTCATAATTTCTGCTACTGAAGAATAATAATTATAAAAATTAAAAGAAATATCATGTTAAAAATAAAAAAATACAATAATTTTGACGTTTTTGGACATAGTGGAAGATAAATTATTAGGTTCAATTGACTGATTTTAAATGTTTCAGTTGAGTAAAATATTTTTCTTATAACTTATCATTAGTATAATTATTTTGATAAATAGAAATGATAGTAATGGTTAGGTACCTGGTTAGGTACCAGGTTAGGTTACTTTATAGTTAATTGATATTGATATGAATTAAACGCTGAATGTATTAAAGTAACTAATCGTCCATCTGTCAACTTTTTAGATTTAACTGAACTATTTTACCTAGCTGATTTTGAAATATGATTATTATTTAAGTCTTAATTGGTGTATTAAAGATAACTATTAATAGTTTCATTCATTTTGTTCAATTTTAGTTTTTAACAAATTTGTAATAATTAGTTAGTAATAACCATTAGTCGAATATGATCTCATTTTAATTTATATTTCAATATTCTTAAAACATTTATACGAATATTTTCAACTATTAATCTTTTAAGAAATATTATTATCGTGTACAAATATCTTTATATATGGTAAAGTATATTCTTAATGTATAATTCTTATGTACATATATATATTAGTTTATAACTATAGATATTGAAATTAAAATTAGTGCTACACACTTAAGTATCCAAATTTTCTGAAATTTTAACATGATGTTAAGGTAAGATAAAAATGAATCACTTTTTTTAAAGATGGTGGTTATATTGTATTCAGAAAATGTTAGGAGCTATAAAAAAAATAATTTTTGAATTTTAAGTATTATATTGAACAGCAAATATATTTTATTTTTTATCTGCATAATATTCTTAAACATTTTGATTGTTCTATCATTAAAATATGTCTATAGATGGATGATAGCGGTATTGAAAGTGATACAACAAAACGGAATGTTATAACTTCAGAGGAAAACCATATGGTAAGTATTATTATTTATTTATTATAAGTCTTAATTTATCTAAAAGACAATTATTTATTTTATTTTATAGAATAGCGATGAAGATAGTAATGCTAGTGATTATTCAATTAAGAAGACTAAATCATCATTATTCCAAAAAAAAATTGGCAAGTATCAACTTATTAAAGTAGTTTAAAAAATTTATTAATCTTATTTCATACCTATGTATTTTCATTTGATCTTTATTTTTTATAACATATTAGTGTGTTCCAATTTTTATTATTTTGAGTATTTTTTAGATTTTTATTTTATGTTTCCTGCTCTTTTGTTACTGTTTCAATTTTATGAATTTTTCAATTATTTAATGATATACTACATTATAAGCTAAGGTAAGAATTTTGTAAACCTACTAGTGTACATTTTTAATTATTAAGTAAATGACACTAAAAGTTTTTTTTTCAAAAACTTGTTTTTTTTAATAGACCAATATGCTAAATCTGGATTGATGGAGTATAATCAATTGGCAGTACCTTTAAGTAAATCATCTAAGTCTGAGAAATTACCTGTATTAGTAGATTGGGACTCATCAGATAGGTATACAATGATTAGTAATTTAATGATAAAAAAATTTGATGTTAAAATATTTAATATTTTTTAGTGAGGTAGAAATTCGTTTTTTTCCTGGCCCAAAAGCTAGACAAACACTCAGTGATACATTTAGCATTCAAGAGTTTCATGGATCTATTGAATCAGAAGATTTAAATTTGATACCACCTCAAGAAACAATAAAGAATGATGATCAATGTTGTACTTTGTTTGTAAACCAGTGTTTGATTCTTTAATGTGTTATATTATAACTAGATAAAGTTATTAGCTAATTTTTTTTCAGTATTATATGAAATCTTAAATTGTTAGTTCCAAAGCCCTATACAATTTTTATGATGACTTAAGAGACTATTTATGCTATAGTTAATTTCTTATTTACGTATTTTTAAACTACATATTACCAATAAAAAAATAATTGTTACATCTTTTATTAATGTTGGTATTCTATTTAATTGATCAACACATAGAAATGGCAATATTGTAAATTTCTATTGTAATAAATGTAATACAAATTTTTAGTATTAGTTATGTTATAAGGATTTTCAATATTACTTGAATAATTGTGAAACTTGAATATTAATTCTATTAGCTGTTAAGGATAACTATATAACTAATAATAGATATAATTTTTTTTGATATTGCACTTCATTTTATTAATTTTGAAAACAATTATTAGAATATAAAATTACTTAAAAATAACTTAAAATCAATAATATTGAATCTAATATCAGTAATCAATAGTGTTATGGAAAGTGAACTGAGTACCTATATTTGTTTATTATATAAAAAGCTGATGTTAATTCTAAAACTATGTGTCATACTTTAGTTTTTCCAAAACCTAATTGATTTTTACAGTAAAGTATTAAAAGCTTGATAAAATTAAATCATAATAAACTAACTAAGCAATAATAAATTTTAATATAAATCTAAGTCATAATCTAATTTTATTTTATTGATATAAATAAATCAATACATAAAAAAATTAAGTGATATAAAATATTTATATTGAAATAATGCTGCCGCTTAAATAGTAATAAAGCTTGGTAAAGAAATACCTTATATTTCAAATATGACTGGGTATATTCAAAGTCATATATATTATATTTATACCGGATATAAATTATTTATATATTATATTATATATATATATATTTAAAGATAGTTACAATTAGAGATGATGATGGAGAGGAGGAGCATATACGAAAGTCATTACTCTTAGTTCTTAGTTATTACAACGGACTTGCACGTTTATATATTTATGTTTATTACACTAGCACGCCAAAAAGATTTTAAACGGCGTTTTAGGTAGGCAATTCACGTTCATTCGGGGAAATGAAGCAAAACGAATTATTGTAAGTGGTCTAAATTTGTCGATTCAAATATTAGTTGAAAAACACATTTATAAGTTTGAAATTTTTTTTCTTATAATTTTGTATTTTGTATGTAAAAATTATTAAAATACCATCTTAAAACATGACTTGTACATTGAACCAGATTTTCTTACAAACTCATTTATGAAATTATTAAAAATATTTAGGGATAAAGTAGAAAATATTGTAATTTAATACACTTTTTTTCATTAAGTTGAAAACATTTTGTAAATTATTGAAGAACTGAAAGAATTTTTAGATTCCGAAAGGATTCGTTATATCCGCGCTACAGATGTCAAAGTAGATTTAAATCTTAATCATTGTGATGNCGTTATATCCGCGCTACAGATGTCAAAGTAAATTAAAAGTAGCCGTTAAGAGCATTCTAAAAACATAATTTAATGATCAATAGGATATCGTTGCAAGTATATTTAAGGCGATATGGACCTCAACATTTATTTTAATTATTTGGATTGTAAATTATTTTCTGCGCACGAATACAATCTGTATCATAATTAATCATTTCATTACAAATTTGGCAGCTGCATATGTGTACTCTATTCGTGTTTTTTTCGCGCGTTTTTAACAGTTATTACTACCAAGAGAAAACGTTATGGTCGGTTGTCAACCCGTTTTTACTAGGTAAGAATCGATCGCGGTACGCGCGTCGCATTTGTTGTTATTTTTTTTTGTCGACGTCGCGTGATGGCGTCGACGCGGTGGAGACGCGTTGTGTCGGTTTTGCGCGACAACGCTTGTGCAGCGCAACGCGCAATGTAGCCGTTGTTACTACTCGTGCGAGTGTGTATATATATACATACTCATAAGGCACGCGATCACGCCGACGCCAGACCCCTTTGCGCTACGTAAAAACCGCCCGCCTTGGAAAACGACAACATTATAGTCGTGTTGTCGCGAATTGTTGGACGCAGATACGCGCTTCGGCATTGCTGTAGAAATAACGGAGGCTTCGAATACACAATACCACATTAATTCATTTTTACACGTGCAATCGTTTATGAACTGCGACATGTATTGTATGAGTGTCGAGCAACTGTAAGAAATCAAGTTACACAATGAAAAAAGCGGCTAGTAAAGCGCGCGATGAAAAACTGTTGGCGGCCGTCCGGGATCGACCGGTGCTTTACGATCAGTCGATGCACGTGTTCAAGGACTTCGGCGCCAAGAACACTGCGTGGAAAGAGGTAGCAGCCGCTGTGGTCGGTTGTCAGGACAAACAGGCCGGTAAATATGATTCCGTGCACTACAATGATACTTTTCAAAATTGTTATTCTATTCATTTATAGTATTGTGTATACGTTTAATGAAACATACCAAGTGCTTCGAGACAATAATTCATATCAACTCATTACTATGATTTATAGTGTAATATACTGAACTACATTATCAATTATAGTAATTAGTTAGGACATAATTAGAAATTTAATAATTCGAAATTATAGGAAAACATTTTTTGTTTTATATATTTCTTTGTAAATATTGAAAACGTTTATGATATCCATCACGACTGTCACTGCAATACCAAGTGTGTGTAGTTATGTAAATTTTTTCAATTTGAAAATTATTTCCCTTTAAAATTATATTTTAGCGATAACGTGTAGTTCATTGTGAAGATGATTAAATTTTTGACTCGCCTTCACAATTTGTAACTTATTAATTACGCGGTATTGCAGTTACTACAGTCACTTATAAATCATGTATTATAATAATTTTATTTTAAGCATCCTTTTTATAATCACCCGTTGGCTTATAAAAGAATGTGAATTACATTAAAATTTCCCCTCTAGTATTTATGATTTTGTAATGACACTGTACATTATCGTAATATGTTACAACGTTAGTGTAGATATTATCTACATTCAATCCTGAACCAATAAGGCTTGGGTTTTTTAAATCAATTTTATATATAAAATATTCTACATTATTCAATAGGAACACCGAGTTGAATATTGCGAGAGAGATATTCCGAATATAGATCTGAAATCAAGATAAAAAATATAAAAAAATAATTTTATTCAAGAGACAGAAATGTAGTATTGAACCGTATTTAAAATACGTCATTTTTTGTCCATATTTTTATCCAAAATTTGTATTTTTTTTTTAGTAATATTTCTCAATATTACTCAACAACAAAGTGTACATAATTTTATGGTAACGAGGCGTTAACTTTAGTAATCAACGATTTATTATTATTCATTAAGTTTACACTTTAAATGCTAATTTTTTTTTTAACAAAAATAATTTTTAATGAAATTTATATTAAATTTTTAGTTGAACGGTTAAAGGTTCGTTGGAAAACATTAAGAGATGGGTTTGTAAGGCATTTAAAAAAAAAGAAAGCGTTAGAAATGTATACAGCTGCAGCTGCTATGAGACCATATAAACTGGAAAAACAAATATCGTTCTTATTACCGCATGTGTCTTTTCGTGATGAAGATGAAGGGGGTAGTATGGACGAAGATGCTTCATCACAAATAGACAAAACAGTTGACAATTCTGATTTATCTTATGGCCAACCAGATGTAGATGATTTGATTTTTGACCAGTCTGTCACGGAAAAGAGTTGTAGTGAGCATGATGCCTTAGACAGATCTATACATTTTTTATGTGACCAGAGATATAAGCCTAATACAATCAACTATAGGTACAATATTAATCGTATGAAATGTATTAATTGTTGTAACATGTAAGATAATTTTCTTTTTAACAGATGGGAAGACATGGATTCTGTTGATGCTTTTTTTCATGCAATGGCACAAACTGTCAAACAGTTGAAACCAATTACAGTGGCTAAAATCAAGCGAGCTGTTTCCATAATCGTCTCTAACGCCGAAATCGAAGAAATGGAAAACTCTGCAGCTTTTCCTAGATTCCCATTGGGTATTCCGTTAACCACCGAAATAAAGAAACAATAGACGTATCTGATAATTAATAAAATTGATGAAACAGTCATGATTTGAAAGAGAAAATTCGCATAGATGTTACTTCAACAACAAAGAATTCAAAGCTTCGACTGAGTTAATGAAATTTTTGGAAAAACTTATATTTTTTTTTATAAGAAAAAATTACATCAATACAGATAATACATTTGTATTGCTAGTGATAAAATGAAAGCTTCAGTAAAAACTAAATGTAATTAATTAATTTTGTTGAAACTTGTGTTTACATAAAATGTTGATTTCTGTTCGATATAATTTCAACAAATATTTTAAAGTACCATTGAATAGTTATTCTGTATACAATATTTATATATTTAATATTACGATATTTATTTATTTATAATATTAAAAAAATACTATTTTTTGAAAATAAACGATTTTGTTCAACTTGAGTGGAGTAAAACATTTAAAATAATTAGAATTTAGTGATGTATTGACAAGGACTACTCTAAGATAAAAATAATGGATATTGAAAACATGTAGATATTATTTTAAATAAGTATTAATATTGTTTATGGAAATTTCAAAAGATTTTGAAGTATTTAAAATTTTCAATAATTTGAAGAGGAAGAGCAAATAGATCTATGTGCAATACTCGGGTTGATTACAGACCACTCATTTAATTACTCACAAAGTAAGATTATTACTTATAATTAATTTTTATTTAAGGTTTAAATAAATAATTTCTATTATTACAATTTTAGCTTTCATTCGTACTTGAGAAGTTTTGTGATGGTGTTAGTTTTTTTTTTTAATGTGTGTTTATAAAAATTCTCAATTCTCACTGGATAGATTTTAATCTATTTTAACCTAAAATCACTAATAAATATAAAAAATTAGATATAAATATAATAAATAAATTATTTATTAAGTTCTACATTTCAGTAAAAAAAAAAAGAAAAAAGAAATAGTCTTATGAAAAATAATTCAATTATTTAATACAAAACATTAAGTTTATAAATATATATATATATAAAAAATCAAATATTATAATTTAACAGATAAGGTTTGTTCACAAAAATTAAATCAAGAATTATATTAGAGAACGTTTTAAGGTTTTATTCAAGTAATTGAACATAGTTAGCAGGAAATAAACCAAAAGTTCCATTAGGTGCTAATCCTTGCCACCAACCTTGATCAATTTGATCAATATGACAAATAATATCACCAGGATCAAACGATATTTCTGTATCATCAGCTAATAAAAAATGTAATTTAAACAAATTAAACATATTAAAAAATTCTTCATAATCAGGTCTCAAGACTTGAAGCATTTATAAAGTTTATTTTAGTCATCCAGAGTATGTAAACAATAAATAGATATTTATGTTCATTTTATTTAACACTAAAGAGTGTATATTGATTTGAAATTTAGTTTTGGGATCTTAGGGGGATTATTCTTACTTGAATAAAAATATTCCTGTAGTACTGTATACATTTATGATAATTGTTCAAGAAGTTAGGTACCTCAGAAGTGATTTAAACAAATTTTATGAATGAATTAAGTCTCGAGCTCTGTTTATAACACTTACCTGCTTGATAATCATAAAGTGCCTCAGCTCTGAGACCAAAATTTTCAATTTTATCATGACTATTTTTGTCTTCACTATTTTCTTCTACAATTCCAGGTTTTGCTATTTCAATAGATTTAATTGATTCATTTTCTTGATTTACAGGTTCTTGAATAATATTTTTAGGTTCAGGTATGGTTTTCATAATATTAATTGAATCTTCTTGTTTCTGATATTTTTCAGTTATATCATTCTCTCTTCGTATTCTTTCAGTGTCCTGAAAAAAAAAAAAATTAAAAATATAAAATAATTTAAAAATAAAACTTTTTATTGATTTCTTGAAAATATAAAAAAAGATTTACTTCTCTAGAAAGTCTTTCTTCTTCAATTTTCTTTTTTTCTTGTTCTTTTCTATTTTTTTCTTCTTCTTGTCTTTTTTTTTCCTTTTCTTCTTCATCTGCCCAAAATTTGTCTCTTTCACTTGAATTGATTTCTAGATTAGGTTGAATGCGTTTGTAACTAGTACCCTACATTTATGAAAATTATTAACTGAACATTAACTTAAAAATATTCTATGTAGTACAATTTTAGCCTGGGTTTCAGATTGATCAAGTCTTTCTTTAAATGAATAAACAGATGCAGATGACTTTGAAACCTTAGACAATATTATATCTGTATCAACTTCATCATCATTACGAGCATTTATAGTAACGTGGGCTCCTTTTAAAATGTTAGATACATCTCGAATGTGGTTAGCACAAGTCCCTTTTCGGACAATAGGTGCTCCTTCTCCTTGCTGCAATATCAAAGTAATTGAGTAACACATAATAAAATTAAAAGGTGTAAATTATAAATTTTATTTTTAAAAAAGTATTAAAATTTTGTTCTCCAAAGATATCACATTAAATCTAAATAATAAAATATTAAGATTTTGAATGAAACATGTTAACATATTAAAAATGTGTCAAAAAAATTCTTACCCAATTTATTAAAACACATTTAAATAAACTGGTTTTAGGATCTAATACTCGACAGAAGGCATACATAATTTTGGAACTATTTAAATCTTCTTTCATTTCTTCAATACCACCATCTGTCAAATTTTATAGTTACATATAAATTCTATATATAACTTATCAAATTATTTATATATGACAAATATATTTAATATGATTATTGAATACTTAAAAAAAATGTACAAAATTTCATTTACATTATATAAGCAGCTTAATAATATACTTTACTACTAATTTAAGATATCAAGTTTAATGTAGGTTTAAGAAAAATTAATGTGTTTAATGAACCTAATTAAAATGATTTAGATACAAATAATTAGCATATTTATTTAATGCATACTGGTACGTAGTGTTAAATGATAAGTTCAGTAATTAGTCACTATCTTTCTTTAAGGTGACAGTTTAATCTACTGTTCAAAAGTATATGCAGTTTAAAACTTTCTGTTTGTAGGAACCATTAATGGCCCGTTACAGTAATAATTGTATTACTAAATTTTCTAGTTGGGTTAATTGAAATTTACAGTGATGATTAATTTGTACATAACTAGTATGATAACTATGAGCGTAGGTGGTTTATTTTTTTTTTTTTTAGAAGGTAAGTAACCATTAGAACGAGATAAAATAGGAGATTTAAGTCCTCATTTTCACTTCTTTTCAACTAATAGCTTCTTATCAACTAGGAAGAACAAAAAGGTTAACTAAAATAATAGTAATTTTTGACTTGAAACTAAGTTTTGAATACAAAAAGTTCATGTCAATTGTTTTAAAACATTGATGTAAAACTGTATTAAATATTAGCACTTGGTAGTAATTTTGAGTATTAGTGTACTATCTTAATACAAAATAAAATACTATTTATTCAACTAATATAATTATTTGAGATATTCAGAATCTTATTTCATATAAAAGTACACTTACTGTAAAATTAGTAAAGTATTCCTAATAATTTATATTAAATATTTGTTATAAAACTTAATGGTTTATTTAGTAAATAAACCTAACGGACAGATGTATCTTCTAATTTGATTAAACAAATCTACTTACCACCTTGTCCAATTTTTTTAAGGATGTTGGTTTGACCCTCATATCCAAATATGGCCCTAAAATGAGTATGATCAGACCTAGCTAATTATCACACAGACAATTGTTAACATAAATAATAATTATACCAGTTAGTAGGAGTTTTGTTGTCGACAACATCTTTCCAAGTATTAATAATTTCTTGTTTGTACTTTTCCAAGTTTAATTGAGACATTTTGTAGTTTAATTGGCGCCTTAAGTTAAAACTTTCAAGACTTTTAAATTGTTTATAAATGATAACATGCACAGTATGACCACATATGAACGTCTAAAAATTATTGTTGTCTAAAAAGTTCTCATCCATAAATAATTTATGTATTGACACCCATACATCGAAAATGTTGGGAGACAGCGTACTCTAATATTGCGCGTAACTATTGTCATCAGAAAATCGGCAACTAATAGGTATATTTAAAAAGTTTATACCTTAAAACAAACTATATTAATAAAAAAATTTATATGAGCAATAGAATTCTATATAAAATAACAAATATAGTGAGCTACTTGAAATTAAAAAAAAATAAAAATTATTTATTTTTAAGTCTATTAATTTTGCTTTTATTCTCAATAAAAAGTTTGAAAAAGCTCTTAATAACAAATCCAATTTTTTAACTACTTGTTATAGATATTACATTATGTTAAAAAAATTTTATTTGATGCATTGGTTTAATTTTATTTACTTTGTTATTAAATAAAGTCTAACCCCTAATAAAACATACGATTTTGACATTTTTACTTATTAATTAAAATAAAAGGTGTCAAATAATAATACTTTAAATACAGTATCTTGAACTACTATAAAATTTTATGATTTTTGGAATATCATAATATCATAGAGTAAAAACTTTAAAAAATTATTTATGAATTTTTAAATGATGTTGTTTCTCCTAATAATTTAAAAACTATTTCTATCTCCCCTAAATATTAACTAATAACTTTAATAGTCTTAAGAATTACTCTTTTCAAGACAGAATTTGAGTCTGGATATTTCATATTTAAATCTAATAAACAAAAACTTATTCAGATATGTGGTATTTAAATTTTAGAGGCAAATGGTAGACGATGTTTTTTATTGTGATTTTACAATTACTATTAAGTTATTTAGGAGAATATAAATTCATTAAGGGATTTCTCATTATACGATTACAAAAAATCGAATTTTAATGTACCTAGATTTTTAATACATCACTTTAAACAATTAAATGTGGTTTATTAAACAAAATTTAGTATATATTACAGCGTTTTTAAAAAGTGATAGTTATAGCTAATAATTGATAAAATTACAAATAATCACGAAGAAATTTATTAAAAAATAATAAAACTTGTTTTTAATTTCAGTTTATTGAGATCATTACTGCGTTTAAAAAACATACACTAACGAGATTTTGTAAATTAATTAATGAAAAACAATCTAATATAAAATCCTATATATTATTACGATGAAAAGTTATAACAGTACCAAAATTGTAGAAGCATACTACGCAGTAATAGCAATATTGGATATTAAAATAATTGCTATTAAGAATTTACCTGTTTTTTTTATTTTATTGAAAAGTAAATTACATCTACATCCTCTGTTTTATTCATTTTTTAAACACAAAATTTCATTGAAATTTATAAAAACAAAATATGATAATTTACTTGATTAAACTGATTTTAGTTTACATGTCAACACGGCCGTCAGGGATTGACGGCTGGTCATTGAAAGTATACAGGAAATCGTGTGAAAAAAAGAAGCTTGGTATGGATTAGAATCCATCATAGAGATACACTTTACCACTAGGTTCCGTGCACTTATGATTCATCTTCCGTTACACTTTCATATAGGTTGATAACGTGATGTGTGACTGAGGAAAACACGGTACCGTGTCAATGTTGATCATTTAAAATTATTTAAACAACTTATGTTTAATAACACTAGGCCCAAATTGTTCATTTTTATTTTGAAGAACAGTTTGATTATATAAATTTGAAGCATTTATAAAATTTGTTTGAATCACTTAGACACTAAATGTATACAGTACCACAGGATTATTTTTTGTTCAGAGGAAAATAATTACCTCGAGTTTCCTAATACTAAATTTTGAATAAATATACACTGTTCAGTGTTAAGTAAAACTAAAATGAATATCAATTTATCATCAATGTACTCGGGATGATTAAAATCATGACAAAATAAAGGAGACGATGGTATTAAACGCTTCAAGAACTATTCCACTCACTGCCATTCACCTTATTTCATTGGTTGTATTTTTTATTATATTTATAACATTTTAGCTGACAAAAAGAGGCGATATATGGTAATACACTGGGTTTGCAACAAAATAAAATTGCTAAAATAAACTTTTTATATGCATCAAGGCTCGAACTCTGATAACTATTAACACTAAGTTAAAAATTAACTAAAAGTAAAATTTACCATTAATATATTTTTAAGATCATAATTTTTCTTTTTGATTAAAAAAGTATAGAATTTTTCTGAAGCACAATTCATTAACATATAATAATATATCGAACGTTTGTAAGTTAATGAGTGCAAGTGATATTTTTATCAAAACATTTTTTTTTTTTAACATAAAAGTAACTTATAAATTCTTCAAATCAATAGAATCTGAAAATATTTGGTAAAAATTCTCTTAGACTGATTAACCTGAAAACAATCGATATAACTTTACAAAAATTAACATTTTATAAAGTTAAAAAAATTACCAAAATTGATGAAGGTGGTAACTTAATTGTATTATTTATATATAAAAAAAATACCCAATAATTATCATACACTGGCACTTGAATAATATAATAATCTAATTTAAGTCAATTAATACTTATTATAATTATTATTATCATCAATTAATAAGTACAGAAAATAAAATTCACGGGCATAAAAATAATTTTAGCATAGTAAAAAAATTAAGAGATATTAACAATAGCCATCTTTACTCATCACAAAAATAGATGCGAGGCTTCTTTTTTATCATAGAGTTATCATACAAATATTGTAACTATTTTTATGTGTATTAAATTTAATTTGATTTTTAACAAATTTTTATTTGTCCAAAATGGAGTTTATGACTGAAATGCAATAGAAATATTATAACAAAGAGAGGAAACTATTCCTATAAGTTACAAATTTCAGAATGCTTTTCATTTTCATGTTAATTTAATCTTACATTTAACTTTTATCATAAAAACAATGGTATTTACACAAAAATAAATAAATATATAAATGATAGCATGGTATCACTGATACAATTTTCATTTTGATATTTTAATTTAATAATCTAGGCTCGTAACTATATTAACTTAATGTTTTTGATAGAATTTATTTCTATAAAATTTACTCATTTTTTAGTATAAGAACTTCTTCTAAAAAAAAATTGAGTTAACATAATCTATTCAGTAAATAAATAAATATATATAATAAAAAAATGAATGCAATTAATTTTCATAAGAACTGGGTACAAGTAGAAATTGATATAATTTATTTTTAGGAAACAAATTTAATTAAAATAATTTTAACCGAGCCAAATATTAAAATTTGAAAAAAAAAAATTTGAGAAAATTTTTTTTCATTCCATGATTTTTTCTTTGTACAGTTAAATTGTGAGAGGAAAATAAGATAAAGAGATCTCATTTTCATCAATTGCCAATATGGCTCAACGTTGAGTGTATTTCCTTATACATTTTGTTATTCCGCTATCGGTATCCCATCTCGTCAAAACACTTGAAAAAAATATAGTTTAATTAATTTTTAAATATTTGTTCATTTAAAACAATATTTTTAACATTCACATCAATAACTCCACTTATAATATTAAAGAAAATATGATATGATTTTTAAATTTATTAAAATCAAAAATTTTTCATAAAATAATTAATGCTTCATACATACTTTAAAGATGATGAGAGCGGTAGTCAAAGTGAAGGCTACAACTTTTCCTGGAATAAATATAAATTATTGGTGGCTGCAACAGCAACAATGTTTTCATTTGGATGCCAAGCAGTATGTAAAATTTTTTTGTTGAAGTCAAGACAATCTACACTGATTTCATCTTTCTTCCGTTTATTTCCAATACAAACCTATTATTTAAGAGCATATTAAATAATAATAGATTTTTAAAATAAAAATGTAAAACTAATTTTAGTACTGAACCTTTCGAGGTTTTAGTATTGTTTTGGGTTTAGCAATTTCTTTAGAAGCTTCCAAAGTAACATCACGTTTACCAACTCGATCAAACATTCTAAAAAAGTTATTATAGGCACCAGTCATTATGTATTGATCACTTCCTGACCAACAACACTCAAACTTATCAAAAATACAATCGTTTTCATATAACGAACAAAGTTTTGGCCTCAAATATTCATGTACCTGTAGTAAAACACAAAAATTTTAAAAATAAGTATATATATATATATATATATAATTTGTACTGGATATGTCTCAATTGGTTTGGTTTCCATATGTAAATCCCAAACTTTAACAGTCATATAATCTCTAGACATCATATAACGACCAGAATTTGATATCTTAACATCTGATATACTTGATATAATTTCAGAGAAAAAACTTCTTGTTGTAGGATCTTCTTGTTCTTCAAATACTAGGAAAAATTCAAATAAATATATGATAATTTATCAAAGTATTTTTTTTGTAATATGTACAATAAAATTAGGAAATATAAACTAACATTTGGCATGTTTATCACATAATGCTGAAGATCGCATATCACAGAGTCGAATAGTACCTTTGCTACTACTATACACAAATAAATTGCATTCAAGAGGATGAAATTCAGCTGCAGTTATAACTTCAGTAAGTTCTTCCATGTTAGTCGGTTTGATATCAACAATATCTGTTATTTATAAAAATTAAGAACATTTTTTCTCTTCTTTGTTAATAATCAATTAATTTTATTTATAAATTATTAATTAATTTAACTATAATAAATAGTAAAATAAAATAAAATATTTATAAAGGATACTGAAACTTTGATCAGTAATTTCTAAATTCCACAAATTTATTCGTAGATCATCAGCTGATAGGTATGTTTCTTGATCAGAGTTAACACTAATAGAATTAATATGATAAGTATGAGCATTAGCGAAAACTCTTCTAGGAGAAGCTTCTACCATGAGTTCCATTGTTTTTAATACTGGTACCTAAGAATATTAATAAAATTTAAAATTAATTATACTTTGACCTAAATTTATAATTTACCCTCAACGATGTTATATTCATAGGATCTCGCATAATGCCAGTATCTTCTTTAGTATTATAACCTTCAATTTTTTTGTCTTTTTCTGACACTTTCCATAGTTTTATTGTTTTGTCTAAAAGTTATAAAGTAAACATATTATTAAAGTTAAGTTCAATAATACTTAATGTAAAATTTAAGGGAAGTTAAACTTACCATTAGTAGATAGTAAAAAATGAGCTTGATTTTTACGCCTGAGCCACCTAATTTTATTAATTTTTTCTTCTATTTCTAAGCTTTTAAGATAATCAAATTCAGGTTCATGACTTTGGAACGTACTATAAACATTGTAATCCCCTCTTCTAGGAATACATGTTTTACTCTGAAAAAATCAAACTTATTTTTCACAACAATACAATGTCACACAGCAATTGAATATAATTGTGAATCCTTTCATGAATATTTATAAATTGAAAAAAGTCAGTAATATTAAAATGATTTTTATTTAAAAAAAATTCAAACCCTACTCACTACTCATGATCTAGATTAAAAATTTAAGCTCCTGATTTAACACTAAAAAGAATATGTCAAATAATAGAAATTGTTTTGTAAAATAACTTCTTTTGATAAAGGTTATAGTACATAAGTTTTCGGTGTAAAAATAACACAAAAAATTCAGTCATATTAAATTATTTTATTAAGTTTTTGGGATTATTAGTTATTAAAGGAATAGAAGGCTAGAATTATTAATAATAGCAAATATAAATACTACATAATAGAACAACTTGATAATAATTTATTGGGCCATAAAATATTGTGATCAGTATAACCACATTTTCAATTGAAATAACAATCAAAAAATTAATTACTTAATTAGTTATTAAATTTTGATTTAATAAATACTATTAACATTTAAAAATGTACCAATTTTTATTTTTTTGTATTATATATTAAAGAAGTTAAATGATAATCTGGTATAAAATTTATAACTGGTCAACTAAAATTATTTTTAGATGTTAAAAAAAAAATTAATAATTTTGTTATATATAATTTTAGAATAAAAAAAAATCTCAAATAAAACATAAGTCTATAATGATATATAATGAACATTTTTATTTTTGAACTTGTGTAGATACAATGTTATGAACTCGGAAAAATATATCAGCTAACTGGGAATCAAATGGAGATTTCGCAAAATTCAGATAAAATTTCCTACTAAATTACTCGGAGACCATATTTAATTCCCAACTCTGGAGTAAGTTAAGTGATTGATAACACAATTGTATATAAAAATAGAAAATTTTAATTTTAAAATAAAATGCAGAATTTAGATATTTAGCTAAATTAAATTTATTAAGACAAGTATTCTTTTTTTTTTTAATAAAACAATAGTTTTTAATACATACAATTGGATCTCGTTGAAAAATGACAACTCTTCCACCTTTGTCACCTGTTGCTAATAATTCACCATCATGGTTGAATTCCACACAGGATATTAAATCAGCTGATAACAAGAAATAAAAAAGAAATAACTTAAGAATTATTAATTGTCAACAGTTATTAACTGTTTAGTTTTCATTACTACCTTCGGTAACATCGTCTTCCAACGTGCCTTTAACTTGTGAGAAACACCATTGTATCTCACCGTTTCCTAGAACAAATAATATTGAAAATGTTATTGGTATTATTGATATAATCAAATTCAAATACATAAATGTATTTATATGTATAAATGTATTGCTACAAGTCCTTAACTATATATACTTTAATTTAAAAAAAATTACAAAATATTTATATATTTATATACTGACATAAATTATTGTTTTCATTATAAATTTTTTGAAGAATAGTAATTTCCCATTACAAAAATTTGAAAATTCAATTAAACACTTTTAATAAAATACAAAATTATTATAAACTCAAAACAATAAATTCAGTTTTTATCATAATATATAATAATAATAACAATAGAATCAAAATAGAATGTAATAAGTATATAAAAAGTATTACTTAACTGAACAAAATTGTATAGAATTTTGTAGCAGTAATGACATGCAATTTTAACCATTTACTTATTTTTTACTAACTGATGACTTTATAGTTGAAATTTAAAAATCATTGACAATGGCCAATTATTATATATTTTTATATTTGACAGTAATCAATTTTTTTACATCTTATATTATTAAATGTTTTATTCAATATAATAATGAATAGAAAATGGGTTAGTTTTAACCATTGTTTTTTTAACATAACTGAAAACATTTTATTAAGTTTAAAATATGAATATAAATAAACCAACTGTTGACCTAGAAACATAAGTGACAGTGAACGTTGTAAATACTGTTGAGGAGAACTTTTGGTCGACAATTCAGTTACGTTTTTAGAAGTTAGAACTAATGCAAAAGAAATAGAATACATTTTTAAGTTAATAGAATTATTATATTTCGAAAATGTATAACTGGAAAGTTAAAATGTTCATTACATTGAAACAACGTGTACGTGAGGATTAGTTGTGGAAACAGAGAAAGATAAAGATAACAGACAAAATTTGAAATAATATGCATTTTATGTAATTTAAGAGAGTAAAAATCGAAAAAACCACTTACCGGCCATTGTGGCGTCGATATCGCTGTTGCAGCGCCTCTTTTTGATTAAATTATCCACCGTAATTACGTTCGATGGACCATCCGAATGAGAAAAAAAGAATATAACAAAAACCTTAACAATATACGAGTAGAATAAGAGAAGACTGTGATGGACGGCGGCCTGATGTCTTTTTTCGATTGGAAAAAATACGATGTCTTGCAGACGACGACGTGATACGAGAGGAGTAGTCACGGGCGGAGGGGAGGAAGTGCTGTCGACCGCGCGAATATCGTCTGCTTACTCGCGTATAATGTTATGCGTGTATGTGATATTATTTCGGTGCAGAAAAGAAAAAAAGTAGTATTCAACGGCAAGAGATAAAAGGGAGTGTGTCCTATGCAAGTATGTGTGATACGCGCGCGCGGTACATAAACGGGTGACGGGGAATCAACAAACACCAAGTCGGTAGCATTGCAAATGGCAGTGTCGGCAACGTGACAATTTAGAAGCATTGAATGCTAATAGGTATTAATTTAAAAATTACAATACAGAAATTGAATATGTATTAATTATTATTAGCAATAAAGAAGCAGACATCAATACTTTTTAAATCAAACTGATTTGTAGTCCTAAGCAAATTTCTTTATCATTGCATTAATAATTGAGTGTTTAAATAATTTCCAAAAATTAATTTCAGTAAAGGTGTAATTGAAAAAGTCTCATGAATAACGGAATGTGTTAAAGTCAGTATAAAAAAAATAAATAATTTTAGAAGACTTAATTATTGTAGACTCCTCTCTGTAGATAGGTTAATATTATTTTATAAGTAATTGTATGTATTAATATACAGAAAAAAGTAAAACAATATAGGTTTTAAAATTTTCATGTATGTAGAATAGTAAGCATGAGAATTCTAAAAAAAATAGAGAAAATTTCACGTTAATTGTTTTTAGTCTAATATTTGAAAAAATCATCCCATTTATTTTTTCTATACATCAATGATACTATTATGTAAAAAACATTAAATCAAAAAATATATTTAATTATTTAAATACTCAATAATTTTTAGTTGATTTACTTTATTTGTACTATTTAACTATTAAATGAACTCTAGTTGAATAGAAATACAACTACTACCTTTTCAAAGATATGTTAAAGGGGTGCTTGTTTAGCGTTAAAGAGGTAGGATACTGAATTACTTTGCACTTTCTAATCTCAAGTGTTGATATTTGTGTGTATTTATATAGCTATTTATAAGTAGTAAAAAAAATTGGTTCAGTATATGTGAGAAGGCGTATTTAAGATTTTGTTTAGGGGAACAGATAAACAAAAGATAAATCTTTTACTTACCACTTAAAATTAAAATAAAATTTTCACCATATAATAATTTTTGTTTTGAAATCTATCCTTACCCTTTTTGATTACGCCATTGTGTGAGAAAGTTTGATAAAAAGATAAGATCATGGAAGACACGTTTTTGATGACAAAATAATGAAAAAACCGTCTTGTGTACAAAGTATAAAATACTTAATATCTTGTTTATTATTTAATTTTTCGAGAAAAATTAATAATTAATCAATTAATAATTGATAAAATAATGCTGAATGAGATGATGATATTTAGCGTAAATACAAAGATACTTGTAGCGTTTGCACAATTAAGCAAAAAAGGTCGAATATATTTAAATCGAGGAGAGGAGGTATTTTTTACCTTAGTTTTTACGGTCACTCGACTAGGACATAAAATTTTTAAATACGTTTCTGAATGCTGAATTTTGGTTAATGTTTTTACAAAGTTTTTCTTACGAAAGATCAAATTTAATTTGATTGAATGTGAGGATTTAGTCTAATCGAGTTGTATTCAAGGATGTTAGAAACTCTTCAATTTGATTAAAAGTCATACCAGTACTTACTGTCAGATACCAAAATGGCAAAATTAAATTAAATGATTAAATGGTTAAATTGAAATGTTATACCCTAAATAACTTCATCGGATATATTTAGTTTTTTTTACTATAATAAAAAAATATTATAGCGATATATACATCATTATTATTTTTTCATCTAAATAAAATACAAGAATGAAAGTAGACAATGCAAGAATTAAACCGTTTGGTATAATTTAAAATTTGGACTTAAAGAGTGTTTTGATTTATATTTTAGTGTACATTGTAATATTTAAATATAATCAATATACCTATGTTGTTTTTTTTATTAACGATGAACCTGGTAAGACTAGATTGTCGGATCATTGCCGTTGACTTAATAACAAACTTGTGAGCTTGTGACGTATGTGATGAACTCTGTTCGGTGGTCCGAGACATGCGTGTCTTTGATGGTGGCGTATCCGATGGACGCCACAAGCCCACTACTTCAGTGTGTCGCATTGTATTGGTCACATGATTGTTAACATCTATGAACAAAAAATTAAACATTTTTAAATTTTCCTTTAACTAGTCTAAATATGTCTCAACGTTTATGGTGATAAGACATTTATACTAATTTATTTTCGAGTTTTACAAAAAACGTATTTGTGTAAAATACGAAATAACTTGTAAAAGTAATATTCTAGCTTAATAGAAGGTTACAATCGTTGGATAAAAAGGTGTGACTGTTTATTGTTGAATGTGACCTACATGCTTGATATGATGAATGTAACGACAAAACTATTGTACGTAAGTTATATATTACTAGAAATATAAACAAGAATGTCGTGTAATATCGAAGCAAAAAGTAATTTTTAACATTGTTTTATTTTTTCAAGGGAAACTTGATACTTATACCGAATTGAATACTATTCACTATATCTACGATCATAAAAAAACATTTGTTTTATTTGATAAGTTATAACGAAATAGAAAAGCAAAAGTTTATCATAATTTCTTTAATTTTATATTATAATAATAAATATTAGGTATAAAAACAAACTTTTGTGACAAGTATTGTGGCGCGGTGGACACAATAGATGTTGACAAAACTCTAGTGTTAAGCCACGCCTGCTGCCGTAGTGTACGGATGGGTGACCATAAGTACGTTTTACGGTGGCAAAAGCACCCCAAGTCTCAAGTATAAAAGGCAACGGGAAACCACTGCACTTATCCCTTCCCTAGTAATATCAGTTGACCTTTGGGTATCTGGTATCCAACACAAGAAAACGGGTAGGAATTAAAAGAAGATAAAAACAAAAATATTTTGGTAGTAATAACGGTACTCTAATAATGTTGAAATGTGTAGAGTGATTATAAGTTAAAAACATGACTGTTGGCTGTAGTGCTTATTTTAACTTCGACGTTAAGCTGATAATTAAAGTTATTGTTTTATTTTAGTAAATGGAAAAAATTGAATGTTGGGCTTAATAAATGTGTTCTATAAAAATTAGTTTTGAGGGTTTGATTTGTTTATAATGCACATGTGCTTAATACTCAAGTAATAGCTTTCAGTAAATTTGTTTGTCTCGGTTAAATGTCTGACTGATGAAATCATTAGTAGACCACCGACCAATTATCAGTAGTGAATGAAGACTATCCATTGTAGTATGATCTTAGAATAGCATGAAAACATTTTGTACAAATATTTACTTTATGACGTTCAACCAATTAGCATTTATTTTTCACAGATTATAGCACTAATTTTTCGTTTAAAAATATAATTTGTCGATCAATAAAGGAAACTCCTCAGGAATTAATAAAATATTGTTATTAATTCATCTACATTTTAAAATGTTATGACAGTTGTAAGTAAAAAGTTTAAAAAATGTCGAAATTTATCGATTGTAAAAACCGTTATTTTATAGTCCAGTGGGAGGTGAATAAAGTGGTGACAAACACACACACAAAAAAAAAAAAGAAAAAAATACTAAACACATCATAGTAAAATAAATATCTTTTCAGCTTTGCATCGAAGTTAAAATATGAATTTTACATTTTTTCTCTATATAAATTACTAAATTGATATTTTAAACGAAAGGATTTGAAGAAATTCGATTATGATTACGACATAAAAATAATTTATATAACATGACACTTAATTCAAGTACTTTTCTATTATTATTTTAAATTACATAAAAGCTATTACTCTACAAATCTTTTAGTTTTAAGAAATAATTTTATTAAATCGAATAGAAGAAGGAACATTACACTGAAAAAAAGGATTGTCGATAATTTTTTTATTGTTAAATCAATCATAATTTTGTTACTAGAACAAAATATTTGTTTGCTTGAGAAACTTGATTATTAATTTTTTCAATAAAAAAAAATATTATTGGCTTTATATTAATAAAAACATAAATTTGTTGATTTTGTAAAAGTTTTTTTTTCATGGTAGATACGTAATTTTTTTTGTATTAATCAATTTTTACAGGTTTTTTAATATTAATGTTGTTATTTTTAGTTTATAGTGAATATTTATTATTAATTTGGCAGTATGTATTATACTTTTCTATTTTTAAAGAATGTCAGTCTAATTCGTAAAAGTCATAACTCCAAAAATTCGATTTTGTGATAATTCTTTATTAAAATTATAATAAAAAAACGGTAGCACAGTGGGGTCGCGGCATAGTAGAGACATTGCATAGTAGGGTCCAGTATAGATTTAATCTGACAGTGATTAAAATCACTATCATAAGAAACGCTTCGATGCAAATCTGTAGATAGTGTTTAATTTTAAAAAATTGATGGATAATTGCAAAAGCAACATCAACTTCTATTAAAATAAAATACAAAACCCATAATTATCATACAAAAATAGTATATTTTTCAATATGGTAGCCATTTGCG